CCCATCCGCCTTAATTTTCGAGATCAGAAGTATGATACATGTAATGTAGAGTTGATGATCTTTCATTTGATATGCGACAACGCAATGTTCTAGAAAGTTTTATTTTTGCACTTAATAACCTCATCCAACTAATTTTTGGAGAACAGGAATTTGATATTTGAAATGAACACGTTATGACCTTTCATTTGATATACAACAACCTTATCTTAAAAGAAAATTCATGTTTTGCACTCAATGACCCCACCCAACTCATTTTTTGGGGACGTCAATTTCATATTTGAAATGTACGCTTTATATACTTTCATTTGATATGCGATAACCTAACCATCTGAGAAGTTTGATTTTTTTGCACTAAATGACCCCACCCTTCCCCATGGGATGAAAAGGGGGTTAAACATTTTCATTTTTGAGTTGAGCTCATTAAGACGTTCAATTTGATATATCAATTGACCCCATTTGGCAAAGTGCCAAAAATGATGCAATATCAATTATAGAAATAGAACTTATGAAAGGAGTATGGCCACGAAGTGCCGATATTGGCCCTGTGAGGTGACAAAAAATAAAAGAGTAATAAGGTGGATCCTTTATAGCTAAAACATATCTACGTATATCGTTATTTGTTTTTATAGTATAAAATCATATTTTTGTGACGTCATTAATGTGACGTAATACCCGGAATCAAACCGGAACGCTCAAAATGTCCAAATTCTTTAAGAATTTCACACTTCCTGGTTAAATTTCGCATTGGCCACAGGCCTCGACCAAAGTAATTTTACTCTTATTTTGATTGTTTGACACTTTGACTCAGTTTGCAACATTATTAAGCGTGGTCGAGGCCTGTGGCCACATCGAAAATTTAACTTTTGCTAACAAGCAAATCCTGATTCAACGCCGCCATTTCCGAGGTACGATAGATTCTGTGACGAAATAACTGTACCAGGATTTTGTACAATTGCTTTAAATAGAATAAATTCTATAATTTATTATTTTCTTTTTCATAACAAAAAAAAGAAGAAAATGGAATAACAAGTCTTTGTTTTTAGCGAAGCTTCGTTAACCGCCGATCCGGCGAGGTTTTTAAACACGGATAGATACGTCCTCATAACTGTTTTTATTAAAAAACAAGACAAATTGTTCGAAATAAAAATTATGAATTTGAAAATTATTTTAAAGTTCAATTCCACGTTATTTTGTAATAATTATCCCGGTCTGTGCTATGCAAACAAAAATATGACAGTTTAAATTAGAGTCGTAGTTTTTTTTCCGTAAAATTCTACTCATCCAGCAGATCGATATGGGTGTCAACATAAAAATTTGATACAAATTTCCTTTTAGATACACGTTTTTTGTATTTTAAAGACGAAATCGTCGAAATGTAACCTCCGCAGAATGTAATCTCATGTTGACGCTTTGATGAAGTGCTTTCTTTCACGTCCGCATTTTCTATCATGTATGGCATGCCAAGTTAACATTTTAAATAATTACTATGGATGGTGTAAATAAATTACAGAACTATGAACAAAAACATACATAGAAAATCGTAGGACATAAGAAGAAGCCACTTGAGAATTTTGATATCATATTGCACAGTGGTTAAATAAGCTTTTCAATATTTCTTTAATTAAAATAAAAATTACGACGCCATGAGAGGGCATGGTGTATACTGTCCGTGACATTCAACCAGAAGAAATATTTGTTTTCAATGAAAACTGAAATAAAGATGAAACAAAACTATCCGACACAATCATATAGCTTGGGTGACTTCAAATACATATCTGATATTCACGCGGGATAGCGTGCATAATTGGTCAGCATGCATACAAGGAGCAATTGTTTATTTTGTCCCTCTTTGGTGGTCTCTTTTAAATTTGAGTGAGACTATGTCACAAGCGACCAACAAAAAATGGCTGCTTACTATGAATAAATTATCTATGATATATCTTTATATTTCTGATTTTTTCGTTTCTTGTGGTGGCCCGAAGTTCGTGTTCAATCTGTAGTTACTTGTTTTTATCTTTTTGTATTGCTGTTTTTTTTGTCGCCTCTATATGTTCATGGTGTTGTATGATTTTATTGGTCTAATGATTCTTTATTGCCCCCACCCCCCTCCTTTTGGAGATTTTTCTCTTATGTTCAATAATAACACATGCAGTTTCTTGTTTCCTGTTTGAAATAGATTCTCTAAATTGCTCTCCGTCATAAATATGCATGAAGTATTTGCCACTGGACGTTCGTCAAACAACTATCAATCAGATCTCCTCTAAAGTTACAGTACGATAATGACTTTTAACATAATTAAATAAATTGATTAAAGTTTTTAAAATCTTTTGAGAAGATATTTACTTCACTTTTTGGGAAAAAAGAAAAAAAAAAGAATATTGAATATCAAATACACACACCATTTTACTACATGAGTTGTTTGTCTCATGATGATGGATGACTGTTTAACGTCCGGCGGCAAGTCAAATGCATATTCCGGACGAGAACATGTTAATTTGCGCACATTACCTCTAGACTTTGGTATCTAGGGTATACAAGACATAATCTGGACATCACACATGGAGTCCAGAATTGAGGAGCTTCTCTTGAAGCATTTATCCCACATGCCATGGATGAAAGTGGCAGTGAGCAGAGTGTAGATGAAGAATAGAATATTAATGTTATCATTGTTAGGTACCTGTGACATTGACGTTTATCTCAGCATTCCTCTTGCTCTTCTTTTTGAAACCTATTTGTTTATATCGTACTTTTTGCAACTAAGCAAACTTTTTGAAAACTCTTAACACATTTTTACAGGTTAATATAACCATGGAAGTATTATATTTTTACTTCCATGATATAACATATCCACGAGAAATAGTTCACAATTCATTTCATTTTAAAGAAAACAAACATTGTGGAGAGTTGTCTTATTGGCAATCATACCATATCTCCTTTTTATATATACTGTGAATTCATTTATTTTCGTGGATACCAATTTTCGTGGATTAAGGAAAACTTACATTTTCGTGGATATCTAATTTCGTGGTATTTGACAATGTCTGCAATCAAGCCTATAGTAAATTTGCAATTCGTTGAACATTTAATTTCGTGGTAAACCTATAACCACGAAATCCACGAAAATTGGTATCCAACGAATAATAATGAATCCAAAGTAGACGAAAATAATTGATCTTGTATATTAATTATAGTTATAGATAATCCATTACTTGGATGGACGCAGCTTACATACACTTATATCGTTACAATCAATGCCAAATAAAAAAACTGATATTCATGGATTTCTATTAGTTTTAAAATGAATCCATGCACGTCATTCGGTATCTGGTTGAAAGTTGTCTTCTTTGCAATAATATCACACATCTGCTTTTTTTCATACGGATTAAGGCATGAATCTGTTAAATTTGACCAAATGATAATAAAAATAATAAAGTACACTCGAACTTTTTTCGAGATAAGAATGATAGTTGTATGTGGAACATCGGGACACTTTAACCACGAGCAAGACTAGGTAAGATTACAAGATAAAAGCTAATTAAGAATAAATTGACAATTGTGAAAACCTTTAAAAATAATTTCAGTTTAAAACTTAAAGGGGCATTAGCCGTCAAATTCATGTTCACCGATTTGACTCAAATTCTAATATTCGACTTATAACATACTAAAACGTATATCCAAATGAAAAAAAAGTATAAAATAAACAATTTACGATGCATAGACTCGATATTATGTATCAGCATTTTGTGTGTATTTTAGTCTAGACGCCATCTAATTAACCATCGAGGTGACCATCTGAAGACTGCCGACGGTCATCTTACCCGATGTAAACATAAACAAAGATATAAAAATAGATAGCAAACTCGTGCAATTGGATTTTTCTAGGTCTGTTTGATTTGATATTACAGGTTAAAGTAATATGTTAATAATCATTTTTACCTGTATAAGAATGAGTTTTTGTAGATCGAATCAGTCAACCAAATGGTTTACCCTTATTTCACTTCCAATGTTGACATACTTTTTCTTTTAATACCTGAACACGCCTAGTTCATGCGTATACCCATCTCTAGCTAAGGGGTTCAATTGAACTTCACATGAATACGGATTTAATAAGGTCGAATTATCCACTTGCAAGTGAATAATTCATTAGCGATGTTTCTTTGCTTATTTTGACAAAACTGAACCAAAATGGCTGCTAAAAGCGAATTATTATTTCATTATTTTACTTTCATTAATGATTGAACAAAAATAAATCTCCTTTTTTTTTCTATATCTCGTAGCTAATGCCCCTTTAACGAGAACACGAATCATAAAATAATAAAAGTATTTGTACTTTTAAAACTTTGCAAAATTCGTATAGATTTAATTGAATATAGCTAAATCACTAAATGAAAAAGTCAATGCAAAACATGAAAATTTCAAATCGATTTTTTTGGGTTGTTTTTCATTGAATGTTTTTAGTATTTAGTCAAACATATAACCATGTTAAACTCTTCAATTTCTGAAAATTTCAGATTGTTTCCTGTTGTTGATTCAGAAATACATGCCGCCGCTCGCAAAATTTCAAACTGCATTATCTCCAAAACAACAACAGATATCTCAAATCTGTTAAAAGTAAAATGATCTACAGTAAAAGAACAATATTGTAAAAAGAAATTTGGGACAATTCTGAAGTTCATCAAGGTCACAATGAAACGTCAAATATATGATGCAATACCACCATTCAACTCAAGACCATATTGACCTTTCAAAAATTACAAGGTCAAGGTCATAGTAGATTTTGAAGGTCAAGGTAAAATTTCATCATGACCTGACATTGACCTCAAATTGAAGGTCTTGAATTACTGATCATCTTTGCAGTTTATAGTAGGTTGATATCTGTTACCTTTTAAAAGATATACATATGTTACTATAGTTTTAAGAATTATGTTAATGTAACTTTTGAACAGACGGTCGGACATTATTGAGCTTAGGAATAAAATGTAGAGCTTGTCGAGAGGAACATTTTATACACAGTATGTATGCAGCAAACTCTTATCGTTTTCTTAATATGCAAGCTTGAAATTGCAGCGTAATTTTTTTTTGCACTCGGTGACCTTTGACCTTGGGTGCAAATTGAAGGTCACATGAACTTAAGATTATTGGTGTAGGTCCCAAGTCTCTACGACTTCCGGTTCTCGAAATACAATTTTTCAAAAATTGTGTATATTTTTTCAAGAGAAATAACTCCTTATAACGGTAATAACAAAATTATTTTGTATGTTCATTAACATTGCTATCTGTTCTTGTACCTGTTGCTGTTTTCAAATCGATTCTATCCCTAAGACTTTCTGAGAAAAATGCAATTGAAAGAAATTGCTTTAAGGGGATATAACTTGCATAGGGGATGATGAAATCCTAATCAGCCTCATATGGTAGTACATCATGATGAGATCTACCTATTGTCCAAATAAGGTCATGATATTCTAAAAAACAACGAGTTGGGGCCATGTCGAAAAAATCCAATAAAAAGGAGATAACTTCTACAGGGGATGATGAAATCCTTAACAGTATCATCTGGTAATACTTCATGATGAGGTCTATCGATGGTCCATATTTGGTCTTGATAACTTCAACAAAAACGGGGGGAGGGCATTCCCAAAAAAATGTTGGAAGAAAAAAAAGAAAAAACTAGTATCTCAATTGTTTGTAAAACAATTGAAAGGTCTTTCCTGTTAAAGTGATGTTTTCGTAATGTACTTTGTACGACCTTTCATTTGATATACGACAAGTATACCTTCTGAAACTTTTCGCATTTTACACTTAATGACCCCATCCGCCTTAATTTTCGAGATCGGAAGTATGATATATGTGATGTAGACTTGATGATCTTTCATTTGATATGCGACAACGCCATGTTCTAGAAAGATTGATTTTAGCACTTAATAACCCCATCCAACTCATTTTTTGAGGACAGGAATCTGATATTTGAAATGTACACGTTACGACCTTTCATTTGATATACAACAACCTTACCTTAAAAGAAAATTTTATTTTTTGCACTCAATGACCCCACCCAACTCATTTTTTGGGGACGTCAATTTGATATTTGAAATGTACGCTTCATGGACTTTCATTTGATATGCGACAACCTAACCATCTGAGGAGTTTGAATTTTTTGCACTAAATGACCCTACCCTTCCCACTGGAATGAAAAAAGGGTTTAGAATTTTCATTTTTGAGTAGAGCTTATTAAGACCTTCAATTTGATATATCAAATGACCCCATTTGGCAAAGTGCCAAAAATGATGCAATATCAATTGTATAAATAGAACTTATGAAACTCACAAAGTCAATGCAAAACATAAAAATTTCAAATTGATTTTTTGGGTTTTTTTTGCGTTGAATGTTTTTGGTATTTGGTCAAACATATTACCATGTTAAACTCTTTACTTTCTGAAAATTTCAGGTGGTTACCTGTTGTTAATTCAGAAATACATGCCTCCGCTTGCAAAATTTCAAACTGCATTATCTCTAAAACGACAATAGATATCTCAAATCTGTTAAATGATAAATGATCTGCAGTTAAAGGGCAACATTGTATAAAAAAATTTGGACAATTCCAAAGTTCACCAAGGTCACAAGGAATCATCAAATATATGATGCAATACTAAACTTAAGAACCGGAAGACGTAGGGACATGGGACTACTACCATTCAACTCAGAATCACTTGACCTTTCAAATTTCATAAGGTCAAGGTCATAGTTCACTTTGAAGGTCAAAGTAAAATTTCATCATGACCTGACCTTGACCTCAAATTGAAGGTCTTGGATTACTGATCATATTTGCAGTTAATAGTAGGTTGCTATATGTTACCATTTAAAAGATATTCACACAATACTATACTTTTAAGAATTATCTTGATGTAACTTTTGAACAAACGGTCCGACATGTTTGAGCTTAATGTATAAAATGTAGAGCTTGTCGAGAGGAACATTTTATACACAGTATGTATGCAGCAAACTCTTATCGTTTTCTTAATATGCAAGCTTGAAATTGCAGCGTAAATTTTTTTTGCACTCGGTGACCTTTGACCTTGAAAGCAAATTAAAGGTCACATGAATTAAAGATTAGTGGTGAATGTTCCAAGTCTCTACGACTTCCGGTTCTTGAAATAGAATTTGTTTTAAATTGTGTAATTTTTTTAAAGGGAAATAGCTCCTTATAAGGGTTGATATCAAAATAATTGTTTATGTTTATTAACATTGCCATCTGTTCTTGTACATGCTGCAATTTTCAATTCAATTCTATCCCTTATACTTTTTAAGGAAAATGCAAATAAAAGAAATTGCTTCAAGGGGATATCACTCTCAAAGGGGATGATGAAATTCTACGCAGCCTCATATGGTAATACATCATGATGAGATCTACCTATTGTACAAATAAGGACATGATATCTTTAAAAACAACGAGGGGCGGCCATGTTGAAAAAAACCAATAAAAGGGAGATAACTTCTGAAGTGGATGATGAAATCCGTAACAGGGTCATCTGGTAATACTTCATGATGAGGTCTATCGATGGTCCATATTTGGTCTTGATAACCCTAATAGAAACGAGGGGAGGGCAGATCAAATAAATGTTGGAAGAAAAAAAAGAAAAAACTAGTATCTCAATTGTTTGTAAAACAATTGAAAGGTCTTTCCCGTAAAAGTGATGTTTTTGTAATGTACTCTTTAAGACCTTTCATTTGATATACGACAAGCATACCTTCTGAAAATTTTCACTTTTTACACTTAATGACCCCATCCGCCTACATTTTTGATATCGGAACTATGATATATGTAATGTAGACTTGATGATCTTTCATATGATATGCGACAACGCCATGTTCTAGAAAGTTTGATTTTTGCACTTAATAACCCCATCCACCTCATTTTTGGAGGACAGGAATTTGATATTTGAAATGTACACATTATGACCTTTCATTTGATATACAACAACCTTACCTTAGAACACAATTTATTTTCTGCACTCAATGACCCCACCCAACCCATTTTTTGGGGACGCCAATTTGATATTTGAAATGTACGCTTTTTGGACTTTCATTTGATATGCGACAACCTAACCATCTGAGAAGTTTGAATTTTTTGCACTAAATGACCCCACCCTTCCCACTGGGATGAAAAAGGGGTTTGAAATTTTCATTTTTGAGTAGAGCTCATTTAGACGTTCAATTTTATATACATAATGACCGCATTTGGCAAAGTGCCAAAAATGATGCAATATCAATTATATAAATAGAACTTATGAAACTCACAAAGTCAATATAAAAGATGAAAATTTCAAATTGATTTTTCTGAGGGGTTTTTCATTGAATGTTTTTGGTAATTAGTCAAACAAATCACCATGTTGAATTCTTTAATTTCTGTAAATTTCAGGTGGTAAACTGTTGTTGATTTAGAAATACATGCCTCCGCTCGAAAAATTTTAAACTGCATTATCTCTAAAACGACAACAGATATCTCAAATCTGTTAAATGATAAATGATCTGCAGTTAGAAGGCAACATTGTATAAGAAAATTTGGGACAATTTCATAGTTCATCAAGGTCACAATGAATAATCAAATATATGATGCAATATCAAACTTCAGAACCGGAAGTCGTAGAGACATAAGACTACCACTATTCAACTCAGGACCACTTGACCTTTCAAATGTCACAATGTCAAGGTCATAGCACACTCTGAAGGTCAAGGTTAAATTTCATCATGACCCGACATTAACCTCAAATTAAAGGTTTTAAAATACTGATCATTTTTTCAATTTATAGTAGGTTGATATCTGTTACCTTTAAAAAGATATACACACAATACTATACTTTTAAGAATTATCACGTCGTAACTTGTGAACAGACGGTCGGACAGTTTTCAGCTTAATGTAAAAAAGGTAGAGCTCGTCGAGAGGAACATTTTATACACAGTATGTATGCAGCAAACTCTTATCGTTTTCTTAATATGCAAGCTTGAAATTGCAGCGTAAATTTTTTTTGCACTCGGTGACCTTTGACATTGAGTGCAAATTGAATGTCACATGAACTTAAGATTATTGGTGAAGGTCCCAAGTCTCTACGACTTCCGGTTCTCGAAATACAATTTTTAAAAAATTGTGTATATTTTTTCAAAAGAAATAACTCCTTATAAGGGTCAATAACAAAATTATGTTATATGTTCATTAACATTGCCATCTGTTCTTGTACATGTTGCCGTTTTCAAATCGATTCTATCCCTAATACTTTTTGAGAAAAATGCAAAAGAAAGAAATTTCTTCAAAGGGATATAACTCGCATAGAAGATGATGAAATCCTATGCAGCCTCATATGGTAGTACATCATGATGAGATCTACCTATTGTCCAAATAAGGTCATGATATCTTTACAAACAACGAGTATGGGCTATGTCGAAAAAATCCAATAAAAGGGAGATAACTTTTACAGGGGATGGTGATATCCTTAACAGGGTCATCTGGTAATACTTCATGATGAGGTCTATCGATGGCCCATATTTGGTCTTGATAACTTCAACAGAAACGGGGGGAGGGCATTCCCAAAAAATGTTTTTTTTTTTTTTTTTTTCTTTTTTTTCTTCCAACATTTTTTTGGGAATGCCCTCCCCCCGTTTCTGTTAAAGTAATCAAGACCAAATATGGACCATCGATAGACATCATCATGAAGTATTACCACATGACCCTGTTAAGGATTTCATCATCCCCTGTAGAAGTTATCCCCCTTTTATTGGATTTTTTCAACATGGCCCCCCTTCGTTGTTTTTGAAGATATCATGACCTTATTTTGACAATAGGTTGATATCATCATGATGTACTACCATATGAGGCTGCATAGGATTTCATCATCCCCTATGCGAGTTATATCCCCTTGAAGCGATTTCTTTCCTTTGCATTTTTCTCAAAAAGTATTAGAGATAGAATCGATTTGAAAACGGCAACATATACAGTAACTGATGGCAATGTTAATGAACATATAAAATAATTTTGTTATTGACCCTTAAAGTACATTACGAAACTAGTATCTCAATTGTTTGTAAAACAATTGAAAGGTCTTTCCTGTTAAAGTGATGTTTTCGTAATGTACTTTGTACGACCTTTCATTTGATATACGACAAGCATACCTTCTGAAACTTTTCGCTTTTTACACTTAATGACCCCATCCGCCTTAATTTTCGAGATCGGAAGTATGATATATGTAATCTAGACTTTATGATCTTTCATTTTATATGCGACAACGCCATGTTCTAGAAAGTTTGATTTTTGCACTAAATAACCCCATCCAACTCATTTTTTGAGGACAGGAATCTGATATTTGAAATGTACATGTTACGACCTTTCATTTGAAATACAACAAACTTGCCTTAAAAGAAAATTATATTTTTTGCACTCAATGACCCCACCCAACCCATTTTTTGGGGACGTCAATTTGATATTTGAAATGTACGCTTTATGGACTTTCATTTGATATGCGACAACCTAACCATCTGAGAAGTTTGAATTTTTTGCACTAAATGATCCCACCCTTCCCCCTAGGATGAAAAAGGGGTTTAACATTTTCATTTTTGAGTAGAGCTCGTTAAGACCTTCAATTTGATATATCAAATGACCCCATTTGGCAAAGTGCCAAAAATGATGCAATATCAATTATATAAATAGAACTTATGAAACTTACAAAGTAAATGCAAAACATGGAAACTTCAAATTGATTATTTGGGTTTTTTTTTCATTGAATGTTTTTGGTATTTTGTCAAACATATAACCATGTTAAACTCTTCAATTTCTGAAAATATCAGGTGGTTACCTGTTGTTGATTCAGAAATACATGCCGCCGCTCGCAAAATTTCAAAGTGCATTATCTCTAAAACGACAACAGTTATCTCAAATATGTTAAAAGTAAAATGATCTACAGTAAAAGGACAACATTACAGAAAAAAGTTGGGACAATTCCGAAGTTCATCAAGGTCATAATGAATCATCAAATATATGATGCAATACCAAACTTGAGAACCGGAAGTCGTAGAGACATGGGACTACCACCATTCAACTCAGGACCATTTGACCTTTCAAATATCACAAGATCAAGGTCATATTACACTTTGAAGGTCAAGGTAATATTTCATCATGACCTGACATTGACCTCAAATTGAAGGTCTGAAAATACTGATCATTTTTCCAATTTATAGTAGGTAGATATCTGTTACCTTTAAAAAGATATAAACACAATATTATACTTTTAAGAATTATCTCGTTGCAACTTTTGAACAGACGGTCGGACAGTTTTGAGCTTTATGTATAAAATGTAGAGCTCGTCGAGAGGAACATTTTATACGCAGTATGTATGCAGCAAACTCTTATCGTTTTCTTAATATGTAAGCTTGAAATTGCAGCGTAAATTTGTTTTGCACTCAGTGACCTTTGACCTTGAATGCAAATTAAAGGTCACACAAATTAAAGATTATTGGTGAAGGTCCCAAGTCTCTACGACTTCCGGTTCTCGAAATAGAATTTTTCAAAAATTGTGTATAATTTTGAAAGGGAAATAACTCCTTATAAGGGTTGATAACAAACTAATTGTTCATGTTTATTAACATTGCCATTTGTTCTTGTTGATGCTGCCACTTTCAATTTGATTCTATGTCTAATACTTTTTAAGAAAAATGCAAATAAAAGAAATTGCTTCAAGGGGATATAACTCTCAAAGGGGATGATGAAATATTTTGCCGCCTCATATGGTAATATATCATGATGAGATCTACCTATTGTACAAATAAGGACATGATATCTTTAAAAACAACGAGGGGGGGCCATGTTGAAAAAAACCAATAAAAGGGAGATAACTTCTAAAGGGGATGATGAAATCCTTAACAGGGTCATCTGGTAAAACTTCATGATGAGGTCTACCGATGGTCCATATTTGGATTTGATAACTCCAATAGAAACAAGGGGAGGGCATGTCAAAAAAATGTTGGAAGAAAAAAAAGAAAAAAAAAAAAAAAAAAAAAAAAAAAAAAAAAGAAAAAAAAAAAAAACACTAGTATCTCAATTGTTTGTTAAACAATTGAAAGGTCTTTCCTGCAAAAGTGATGTTTTTGTAATGTACTCTTTAAGAGCTTTCATTTGATATACGACAAGCATACTTTCTGAAAATTTTCACTTTTTACACTTAATGACCCCATCCGCCTACATTTTTGATATCGGAAGTATGATATATGTAATCTAGACTTGATTATCTTTCATTTGATATGCGACAACGCCATGTTCTAGAAAGTTTGATTTTTGCACTTAATAACCCCATCCAACTAATGTTTTGAGGACGGGAATCTGATATTTGAAATGTACACGGTAAGACCTTTCATTTGATATACAACAACCTTATCTTCAAAGAAAATTTATTTTTTTTGCACTCAATGACCCCAACCAACCCATTTTTTGGGGACGTCAATTTGATATTTGAAATGTACGCTTTATGGACTTTCATTTGATATGCGACAACCTAACCATCTGAGAAGTTTTAATTTTTTGCACTAAATGACCCCACCCTTCCCCCTGGGATGAAAAGGGGGTTTTACATTTTCATTTTTGAGTAGAGCTCGTTAAGACCTTCAATTTGATATATCAAATGACCCCATTTGGCAAAGTGCCATAAATGATGCAATATCAATTATATAAATAGAACTTATGAAACTTACAAAGTCAATGCAAAACATGAAAATTTCAAATTGATTTTTAGGTTTTTTTTTTCATTGAATGTTTTTGGTATTTGGTCAAACATATAACCATGTTAAACTCTTCAATTTCTTATAATTTCAGGTGGTTACCTGTTGTTGATTCAGAAATACATGCCTCCGCTCGCAAAATTTCAAAGTGCATTATCTCTTAAACGACAACAGGTATCTCAAATTTGTTAAAAGAAAAATGATCTACAGTAAAAGGACAACATTTTAGAATAAAAATTGGACATTTCCAAAGTTCATCAAGGTCACAATGAATTATCAAATATATGATGCAATATCAAACTTGAGAACCGTAAGTCGTAGAGACATGGGACTACCACCATTCAACTCAAGACCACTTGACCTTTCAAATGTCACAAGGTCAAGGTCATAGTACACTCTGCAGGTCAAGGTTTATCTTCATCATGACCTGACATTGACCTCAAATTGAAGGCCTTGAAATACTGATCATCTTTGCAGTTTATAGTAGGTTGATATATGTTACCTTTTAAAAGATATACATATGTTACTATAGTTTTAAGAATTATGTTAATGTAACTTTTGAACAGACAGTCGGACATTTTTGAGCTTAATGTATAAAATGTAGAGCTCGTCGAGAGGAACATTTTATACACAGTATGTATGCAGCAAACTCTTATGGTTTTCTTAATATGCAAGCTTGAAATTGCAGCGTAAAGTTTGTTTGCACTCTGTGACCTTTGACCTTGGATGCAAATTGAAGGTCACATGAACTTAAGATTATTGGTGTAGGTCCCAAGTCTCTACGACTTAGGGTTCTCGAAATACAATTTTTCAAAAATTGTGTATATTTTTTTAAGAGAAATAACTCCTTATAAGGGTCAATAACAAAATTATTTTATATGTTCATTAACATTGCCATCAGTTCCTGTATATGTTGCCGTTTTCAAATCGATTCTATCTCTAATACTTTTTGAGAAAAATGCAAAGGAAAGAAATCGCTTCAAGGGGATATAACTCGCATAGGGGATGATGAAATCCTATGCAGTCACATATGGTAGTACATCATGATGAGATCAACCTATTGTCAAAATAAGGTCATGATATCTTCAAAAACAACGAAGGGGGGCCATGTTGAAAAAATCCAATAAAAGGGGGATAACTTCTACAGGGGATGATGAAATCCTTAACAGGGTCATGTGGTAATACTTCATGATGATGTCTATCGATGGTCCATATTTGGTCTTGATAACTTGAACAGAAACGGGGGGAGGGCATTCCCAAAAAAATGTTGGAAGAAAAAAAAGAAAAAAAAAAAAAAAAAAAAAAAAGAAAAAGAAAAAAAAAAAAAACTAGTATCTCAATTGTTTGAAAAACAATTGAAAGGTCTTTCCTGCAAAAGTGATGTTTTTGTAATGTACTCTTTAAGACCTTTCATTTGATATACGACAAGCATACCTTCTAAAAATTTTCACTTTTTACACTTAATGACCCCATCCGCCTACATTTTTGATATCGGAAGTATGATATATGTAATGTAGACTTGATTATCTTTCATTTGATATGCGACAACGCCATGTTCTAGAAAGTTTGATTTCTGCACTTTATAACCCCATCCAACTTATTTTTTGAGGACAGGAATCTGATATTTGAAATGTACACGTTACGACCTTTCATTTGAAATACAACAACCTTACCTTAAAAGAAAATTATATTTTTTGCACTCAAGGACCCCAACCAACCCATTTTTTTGGGACGTCAATTTGATATTTGAAATGTACGCTTTATGGACTTTCATTTGATATGCGACAACCTAACCATCTGAGAAGTTTTAATTTTTTGCACTAAATGACCCCACCCTTCCCCCTTGGATGAAAAGGGGGTTTTACATTTTCATTTTTGAGTAGAGCTCGTTAAGACCTTCAATTTGATATATCAAATGACCCTATTTGGTAAAGTGCCAAAAATGATGCAATATCAATTATATAAATAGAACTTATGAAACTTACAAAGTCAATGCAAAACATGAAAATTTCAAATTAATTTTTTGGTTTTTTTTTTCATTGAATGTTTTTGGTATTTGGTCAAACATATAACCATGTTAAACTCTTCAATTTCTTATAATTTCAGGTGGTTACCTGTTGTTGATTCAGAAATACATGCCTCCGCTCGCAAAATTTCAAAGTGCATTATCTCTTAAACGACAACAGGTATCTCAAATTTGTTAAAAGAAAAATGATCTACAGTAAAAGGACAACATTTTAGAAAAAAAATTGGACAATTCCAAAGTTCATCAAGGTCACAATGAATTATCAAATATATAATGCAATATCAAACTCGAGAACCGGAAGTCGTAGAGACATGGGACTACCACCATTCAACTCAAGACCACTTAACCTTTCAAATGTAACAAGGTCAAGGTCATAGTACACTCTGAAGGTCAAGGTTAAATTTCATCATGACCTGACATTGACCTCAAATTGAAGGCCTTGAATTACTGATCATCTTTGCAGTTTATAGTAGGTTGATATCTGTTACCTTTTAAAAGATATACATATGTTACTATAGTTTTAAGAATTATGTTAATGTAACTTTTGAACAGACGGTCGGACATTTTTGAGCTTAATGTATAAAATGTAGAGCTCGTCGAGAGGAACATTTTATACACAGTATGTATGCAGCAAACTCTTATCGTTTTCTTAATATGCAAGCTTGAAATTGCAGCGTAAATTTTTTTTTGCACTCTGTGACCTTTGACCTTGGGTGCAAATTGTAGGTCACATGAACTTAAGATTATTGGTGTAGGTCCCAAGTCTCTACGACTTACGGTTCTCGAAATACAATTTTTCAAAAATTGTGTATATTTTTTTAAGAGAAATAACTCCTTATAAGGGTCAATAACAAAATTATTTTATATGTTCATTAACATTGCCATCAGTTCCTGTATATGTTGCCATTTTCAAATCGATTCTATCTCTAATACTTTTTGAGAAAAATGCAAAGGAAAGAAATCGCTTCAAGGGGATATAACTCGCATAGGGGATGATGAAATCCTATGCAGCCTCATATGGTAGTACATCATGATGAGATCAACCTATTGTCAAAATAAGGTCATGATATCTTTAAAAACAACGAAGGGGGGCCATGTTGAAAAAATCCAATAAAAGGGGGATAACTTCTACAGGGGATGATGAAATCCTTAACAGGGTCATGTGGTAATACTTCATGATGATGTCTATCGATGGTCCATATTTGGTCTTGATAACTTTAACAGAAACGGGGGGAGGGCATTCCCAAAAAAATGTTGGAAGAAAAAAAAGAAAAAAAAAAACAAAAAAAAAAAGAAAAAGAAAAAAAAAAAAAAAAAGAAAAAAAAAAAACATTAGAAAAACAATAAGGTCTTTCCTAACGGAGTGGAAAGACCTTAACTAGTATCTCAATTGTTTGTAAAACAATTGAAAGGTCTTTCCCGTAAAAGTGATGTTTTCGTAATGTACTTTTTACGACCTTTCATTTGATATACGACAAGCATACCTTCTGAAACTTTTCGCTTTTTACACTTAATGACCCCATCCACCTAATTTTCTAGATCGGAAGTATGATATATGTAAAGTAGACTTGATGATATTTCATTTGATATGCGACAACGCCATCTTCTAGAAAGTTTGATTTTTGCACTTAATAACCCCATCCAACTAGTTTTTGGAGAACAGGAATTTGATATATGAAATGTACACGTTATGACCTTTCATTTGATATACAACAACCTTATCTTAAAAGAAAATTTATGTTTTTTGAACTCAATGACCCCACCCAACCCATTTTTTGGGGACGTCAACTTGTTATTTGAAATGTACGCTTTATGGACTTTCATTTGATATGCGACAACCTAACCATCTGAGAAGTTTGAATTGTTTGCACTAAATGACCCCACCCTTCCCCCTGGGATGTAAAAGGGGTTTAACATTTTCATTTTTGAGTAGAGCTCGTTAAGACCTTCAATTTGATATATCAAATGACCCCATTTGGCAAAGTGCCAAAAATGGTGCAATATCAATTGTATAAATAGAAATTATGAAACTTACAAAGTAAATGCAAAACATGAAAATTTCAAATTGATTTTTTGGGGTTTTTTTTCATTGAAAGTTTTTGGTATTTGATCAAACATATAACCATGTTGAACTCTTTAATTTCTGAAAATTTCAGGCGCAAAGCTGTTGTTCATTTAGAAATACATGCCTCCGCTCGCAAAATTTCAAACTGCATTATCTCTTAAACGACAACAGATATCTCAAATCTGTCGAAAGAAAAATGATCTGCAGTAAAAGGACAACATTTGAGACATTTTTTTTTGACAATTCCGAAGTTCATCAAGGTCACAATGAATTATCAAATATATGATGCAATATCAAACTTGAGAACCGGAAGTCGTAGAGACATACGACTACCACCATTCAACTCAGGACCACTTGACCTTTCAATTGTCACAAGGTCAAGGTCATAGTAGACTCTGAAGGTCAAGGTTAAATTTCATCATGGCCTGACATTGACCTCAAATTGAAGGTCTTGAATTACTGATCATCTTTCCAGTTTATAGAAGGTTGATATCTGTTACCTTTAAAAAGATATACATATGTTACTATAGTTTTAAGAATTATGTTAGTGTAACTTTTGAACAGAAGGTCGGACATTTTTGAGCTTAATGTATAAAATGTAGAGCTCGTCGAGAGGAACATTTTATACACAGTATGTATGCAGCAAACTCTTATCGTTTTCTTAATATGCAAGCTTGAAATTGCAGCGTAATTTTTTTTTGCACTCGGTGACCTTTGACCTTGGGTGCAAATTGAAGGTCACATCAACTTAAGATTATTGGTGTAGGTCTCAAGTCTCTACTACTTCCGGTTCTCGAAATACAATTTTTCAAAAATTGTGTATATTTTTTCAAGAGAAATAACTCCTTATAAGGTTCAATAACACAATTATTTTATATGTTCATTAACATTGCCATCTGTTCCTGTACATGTTGCTGTTTTCAAATCGATTCTATCCCTAATACTTTTTGAGAAAAATGCAAAAGAAAGAAATTGTTTCAAGGGGATATAACTCGCATAGGGGATGATGAAATCCTATGCAGCCTCATATGGTAGTACATCATGATGAGATCTACCAATTGTCCAAATAAGGTCATGATATCTTTAAAAACAACGAGGGGGAACCATGTCGAAAAAATCCAATAAAAGGGAGATAACTTCTACAGGGGATGATGAAATCCTTAACAGGGTCATGTGGTAATACTTCAAGATGAGGTCTATCGATGGTCCATATTTGGTCTTGATAACTTCAACAGAAACGGGGGGAGGGCATTCCCAAAAAAATGTTGGAAGAAAAAAAAGAAAAAAAAAACATTAGAAAAACAATAAGGTCTTTCCTAACGGAGTGGAAAGACCTTAAAAAGAAGAAAAAAAAACATTAGAAAAACAATAAGGTCTTTCCTAACGGAGTGGAAAGACCTTAAACATCACTTTAACAGGAAAGACCTTTCAATTGTTTTACAAACAATTGAGATACTAGTTTTTTTTTTTTTTCTTTTTTTTCTTCCAACATTTTTTTGACATCCCCTCCCCTCGTTTCTATTAGAGTTATCAAGACCAAATATGGACCATCGATACACCTTATCATGAAGTATTACCAGATGACCCTGTTAAGGATTTCATCATCCACTTTAGAAGTTATCTCCCTTTTATTGTTTTTTTTCAACATGGCCCCCCTTCGTTGTTTTTTAAGACATCATGACCTTATTTGTACATTAGGTAGATCTCATCATGATGTATTACCATATGAGGCTGCGTAGCATTTCATGATCCTCTTTGAGAGTTATATCCCCTTGAAGCAATTTCTTTTATTTGCATTTTTCTTAAAAAGTATTAGAGATAGAATCGAATTAAAAATGGCAGCATGTACAAGAACAGATGGCAATGTAAATAAACATAAACAATTAGTTTGTTATCAACCCTTATAAGGAGTTATTTCCCTTGAAAAATTATACACAATTTTTTGAAAAATTGTATTTCGAGAACCTTAAGTCGTAGAGACTTATGACCTTCACCAATAATCTTTAATTCATGTGACCTTTAATTTGCACCTAAGGTCAAAGGTCACTGAGTGCAAAAAAAATTTACGCTGCAATTTCAAGCTTACATATTAAGAAAACGATAAGAGTTTGCTGCATACATACTGTGTATAAAATGTTCCTCTCGACGAGCTCTACATTTTATACATTACGCTCAAAACTGTCCGACCGTCTGTTCACAAGTTACGACGAGATAATTCTTAAAAGTATAGTATTGTGTGTATATCTTTTTAAAGGTAACAGATATCAACCTACTATAAATTGCAAAAATGATCAGTATTTTAAAACCTTCAATTTGAGGTCAATGTCAGGTCATGATGAAATTTAACCTTGACCTTAAGAGTGTGCTATGACCTTGACATTGTAACATTTGAAAGGTCAAGTGGTCCTGAGTTGAATAGTGGTAGTCTCATGTCTCTACGACTTCCGGTTCTGAAGTTTGATATTGCATCATATATTTGATAATTCATTGTGACCTTGATGAACTATGGAATTGTCCCAAATATTTTTATACGATGTTGCTTTTTAACTGCAGATCATTTATCATTTAACAGATTTGAGATATCTGTTGTCGTTTAAGAGAAAATGCAGTTTTAAATTTTTCGAGCGGAGGCATGTATTTCTAAATTAACAAAAGTTTACCACCTGAAATTTTAAGAAATTAAAGAATTCAACATGGTTGTATGTTTGACTAAAAAACAAAAACATTCTAAGAAAAAAAACCCCAAAAAATCAATTTGAAATTTTCATGTTTTGCATTTACTTTGTAAGTTTCATAAGTTCTATTTATATAATTGATATTGCATCATTTTTGGCACTTTGCCAAATGGGGTTATTTGATATATCAAATTGAAGGTCTTAACGAGCTCTACTCAAAAATGAAAATGTTAAACCTCCTTTTCATTCCAGGGGCAAGGGTGGGGTCATTTAGTGCAACAAATTCAAACTTCTCAGATGGTTAGGTTGTCGCATATCAAATGAAAGTCCATAAAGCGTACATTTCAAATATCAAATTGACGTCCCCAAAAAATGGGTTGGTTGGGTCATTGAGTGCAAAAAATATAATTTTCTTTTAAGGTAAGGTTGTTGTATTTCAAATGAAAGGTCGTAACGTGTACATTTCAAATATCAGATTCCTGTCCTCAATAAATTAGCTGGATGGGGTTATTCAGTGCAGAAATCAAACTTTCTAGAACATGGCGTTGTCGCATATCAAATGAAAGATAATCAAGTCTAGATTACATATATCATACTTCCGATATCAAAAATGTAGGCGTATGGGGTCATTAAGTGTAAAAAGTGAAAATTTTCAGAAGGTATGCTTGTCGTATATCAAATGAAAGGTCTTAAAGAGTACATTACAAAAACATCACTTTTGCAGGAAAGACCTTTCAATTGTTTTTCAAACAATTGAGATACTTTCCACTCCGTTAGGAAAGACCTTATTGTTTTTCTAATTAAGGTCTTTCCACTCCGTTAGGAAAGACCTTATTGTTTTTCTAATGTTTTTTTTTCTTTTTCTTTTTCTTTTTCTTTTTTTTTTTTTTCTTTTTTTTCTTCCAACATTTTTTTTGACATGCCCTCCCCTCGTTTCTATTAAAGTTATCAAGACCAAATTTGAACCATCGATAGACCTCATTGTGAAGTATTACCAGATGACTCTGTTAAAGATTTCATCATCCCCTTTGGAAGTTATCTCCCTTTTATTGGTTTTTTTCAACATGGTCCCCCCTCGTTGTTTTTTAAGATATCATGACCATATTTGTACTATCGGTAGATCTCATCATGATGTATTTCCATATTAGGCTGCGTAGGATTTAATCGACTCCTTTGAGAGTTGCATCCCCTTGAAGCAATTTCTTTTATTTGCATTTATCTTAAAAAGTATAAGAGATAGAATCAAATTGAAAATGGCAGCATCTACAGGAACAAAGGGCAATGTCAATAAACATAAACAATTAGTATGTTATCAATCCTTATAAAGAGTTATTTCCCTTGAAAAAAACTACTCAATTTTAAAAAAATTGTATTTCGAGAACCGGAAGTCGTAGAGACTTAGGACCTTCACCAATAATCTTTAATTCATGCGACCTTTAATTTGCATCCAAGGTCAAAGGTCAGTGAGTGCAAAAAAAATTTACGCTGCAATTTCAGGCTTACATATTAAGAAAACGATAAGAGTTTGCTGCATACATACTGTGTATAAAATGTTCCTCTCGACCAGCTCTACATTTTATACATAAAGCTCAAACATGTCCGACCGTCTGTTCAAAAGTTGCAACGAGATAATTCTTAAAAGTATAATATTGTGTTTATATCTTTTTAAAGGTAACAGATATCTACCTACTATTAAGTGGAAAAATGATCAGTATTTTGAGACCTTCAATTTGAGGTCAATGTGAGGTCATGATGAAATTTTACCTTGACCTTCAAAGTGTAATATGACCTTGATCTTGTGATATTTGAAAGGTCAAGTGGTCCTGAGTTGAATGGTGGTAATCCCATGTCTCTACGACTTCCGGTTCTCAAGTTTGCTATTGCATCATATATTTGATGATTCATTATGACCTTGATGAACTTCGGAATTGTCCCAAATTTTTTTCTGTAATGTTGTCCTTTTACTGTAGATCATTTTACTTTTAACATAGTTGAGATAACTGTTGTCGTTTTAGAGATAATGCACTTTGAAATTTTGCGAGCGGCGGCATGTATTTCTGAATCAACAACAGGTAACCACCTGATATTTTCACAAATTGAAGAGTTTAACATGGTTATATGTTTGACAAAATACCAAAAACATTCAATGAAAAAAAAACCCAAAAAATCAATTTGAAGTTTTCATGTTTTGCATTTACTTTGTAAGTTTCATAAGTTCTATTTATATAATTGATATTGCATCATTTTTGGCACTTTGCCAAATGGGGTCATTTGATATATCAAATTGAAGGTCTTAACGAGCTCTACTCAAAAATGAAAATGTTAAACCCCTTTTTCATCCCAGGGGGAAGGGTGGGGTCATTTAGTGCAAAAAATTCAAACTTCTCAGATGGTTAGGTTGTCGCATATCAAATGAAAGTCCATAAAGCGTACATTTCAAATATCAAATTGACGTCCCCAAAAAATGGGTTGGGTGGGGTCATTGAGTGCAAAAAATAAAATTTTCTTTTAAGGCAAGTTTGTTGTATTTCAAATGAAATGTCGTAACATGTACATTTCAAATATCAGATTCCTGTCCTCAAAAAATGAGTTGGATGGGGTTATTTAGTGCAAAAATCAAACTTTCTAGAACATGGCGTTGTCGCATATCAAATGAAAGATCATAAAGTCTAAATTACATATATCATACTTCCGATCTCGAAAATTAAGGCGGATGGGGTCATTAAGTGTAAAAAGCGAAAAGTTTCAGAAGGAATGCTTGTCGTATATCAAATGAAAGGTCGTACAAAGTACATTACGAAAACATCACTTTAACAGGAAAGACCTTTCAATTGTTTTACAAACAATTGAGATACTAGTTTTTAAGGTCTTTCCACTCCGTTAGGAAAGACCTTATTGTTTTTCTAATGTTTTTTTTTTTTTCTTTTTTTAAGGTCTTTCCACTCCATTAGGAAAGACCTTATTGTTTTTCTAATGTTTTTTTTTTTTCTTTTTTTTTTTTTTTTTTCTTTTTCTTTTTTTTTTTTTTTTTTTTTTCTTTTTTTTCTTCCAACATTTTTTTGGGAATGCCCTCCCACCGTTTCTGTTGAAGTTATCAAGACCAAATATGGACGATCGATAGACCTCATCTTGAAGTATTACCACATGACCCTGTTAAGGATTTCATCATCCCCTGTAGAAGTTATCTCCCTTTTATTGGATTTTTTCGACATAGTTCCCCCTCGTTGTTTTTAAAGATATCATGACCTTATTTGGACAATAGGTAGATCTCATCATGATGTACTACCATATGAGGCTGCATAGGATTTCATCATCCCCTATGCGAGTTATATCCCCTTGAAACAATTTCTTTCTTTTGCATTTTTCTCAAAAAGTATTAGGGATAGAATCGATTTGAAAACAGCAACATGTACAAGAACAAATGGCAATGTTAATGAACATATAAAATAATTTTGTTATTGACCCTTATAAGGAGTTATTTCTCTTGAAAAAATATACACAATTTTTGAAAAATTGTATTTCGAGAACCGGAAGTAGTAGAGACTTGAGACCTACACCAATAATCTTAAGTTTATGTGACCTTCAATTTGCACCCAAGGTCAAAGGTCACCGAGTGCAAAAAAAAATTACGCTGCAATTTTAAGCTTGCATATTAAGAAAACGATAAGAGTTTGCTGCATACATACTGTGTATAAAATGTTCCTCTCGACGAGCTGTACATTTTATACATTAAGCTCAAAAATGTCCGACCTTCTGTTCAAAAGTTACACTAACATAATTCTTAAAACTATAGTAACATATGTATATCTTTTTAAAGGTAACAGATATCAACCTTCTATAAACTGGAAAGATGATCAGTAATTCAAGACCTTCAATTTGAGGTCAATGTCAGGCCATGATGAAATTTAACCTTGACCTTCAGATTGTACTATGACCTTGACCTTGTGACAATTGAAAGGTCAAGTGGTCCTGAGTTGAATGGTGGTAGTCGTATGTCTCTACGACTTCCGGTTCTCAAGTTTGATATTGCATCATATATTTGATAATTCATTGTGACCTTGATGAACTTCGGAATTGTCAAAAAAAAATGTCTCAAATGTTGTCCTTTTATTGCAGATCATTTTTCTTTCGACAGATTTGAGATATCTGTTGTCGTTTAAGAGATAATGCAGTTTGAAATTTTGCGAGCGGAGGCATGTATTTCTAAATGAACAACAGCTTTGCGCCTGAAATTTTCAGAAATTAAAGAGTTCAACATGGTTATATGTTTGATCAAATACCAAAAACTTTCAATGAAAAAAAACCCCAAAAAATCAATTTGAAATTTTCATGTTTTGCATTTACTTTGTAAGTTTCATAATTTCTATTTATACAATTGATATTGCACCATTTTTGGCACTTTGCCAAATGGGGTCATTTGATATATCAAATTGAAGGTCTTAACGAGCTCTACTCAAAAATGAAAATGTTAAACCCCTTTTACATCCCAGGGGGAAGGGTGGGGTCATTTAGTGCAAACAATTCAAACTTCTCAGATGGTTAGGTTGTCGCATATCAAATGAAAGTCCATAAAGCGTACATTTCAAATAACAAGTTGACGTCCCCAAAAAATGGGTTGGGTGGGGTCATTGAGTTCAAAAAACATAAATTTTCTTTTAAGATAAGGTTGTTGTATATCAAATGAAAGGTCATAACGTGTACATTTCATATATCAAATTCCTGTTCTCCAAAAACTAGTTGGATGGGGTTATTAAGTGCAAAAATCAAACTTTCTAGAAGATGGCGTTGTCGCATATCAAATGAAATATCATCAAGTCTACTTTACATATATCATACTTCCGATCTAGAAAATTAGGTGGATGGGATCATTAAGTGTAAAAAGCGAAAAGTTTCAGAAGGTATGCTTGTCGTATATCAAATGAAAGGTCGTAAAAAGTACATTACGAAAACATCACTTTTACGGGAAAGACCTTTCAATTGTTTTACAAACAATTGAGATACTAGTTTTTTTTTTTTTCTTTTTCTTTTTTTTTTTTTTCTTTTTTTTCTTCCAACATTTTTTTGACATGCCCTACCCTCGTTTCTATTAAAGTTATCAAGACCAAATTTGAACCACCGATAAACCTCATCATGAAGTATTACCAGATGACCCTGTTTAGGATTTCATCATCTCCTTTGGAAGTTATCTCCCTTTTATTGGGTTTTTTCAACATGGTCCTCCCTCGTTGTTTTTAAAGATATCATGATTTTATTTGTACTATAGGTAGATCTCATCATGATGTATTACCATATGAGGCTGCGTAGGATTTCATCAACTCCTTTGAGAGTTGCATCCCCTTGAAGCAATTTCTTTAATTTTATTTTTTTCTTAAAAAGTATAAGAGATAGAATCGAATTGAAAATAGCAGCATCTACAAGAACAAATGGCAATGTTAATAAACATAAACAATTAGTATGTTATCAATCCTTATACGGAGTGATTTCCCTTGAAAAAATTTACTCAATTTAAAAAAAATTGTATTTCGAGAACCGGAAGTCGTAGAGACTTGGGACCTTCACCAATAATCTTTATTTCATGTGACCTTTAACTTCCACCCAAGGTCAAAGGTCACTGAGTGCAAACAAAATTTACACTGCAATTTCAAGCTTACATATTAGGAAAACGATAAGAGTTTGCTGCATACATACTGTGTATAAAATGTTCCTCTCAACGAGCTCTACATTTTATACTTTAAGCTCAAAAATGTCCGACCGTCTGTTCACAAGTTACGACGAGATAATTCTTAAAAGTATAGTATTGTGTGTATATCTTTTTAAAGGTAACAGAAATCAACCTACTATAAATTGCAAAAATGATCAGTATTTTAAAACCTTCAATTTGAGGTCAATGTCAGGTCATGATGAAATTTAACCTTGACCTTCAGAGTGTGCTATGACCTTGACATTGTGGAATTTGAAAGGTCAAGTGGTCCTGAGTTGAATAGTGGTAGTCCAATGTCTCTACGACTTCCGGTTCTGAAGTTTAATATTGCATCATATATTTGATAATTCATTGTGACCTTGATGAACTATGGAATTGTCCCAAATTTTTTTATACAATGTTGCCTTCCAACGGCAGATCATTTATCATTTAACAGATTTGAGATATCTGTTGTCGTTTAAGAGATAATGCAGTTTGAATTTTTTCGAGCGGAGGCATGTATTTCTGAATCAATAACAGTTTACCACCTGAAATTTTCAGAAATTAAAGAATTCAACATGGTTATATGTTTGACTAAATACCAAAAATATTCAATGAAAAAAAACCCCCAAAAAATCAATTTGAAATTTTCATGTTTTGCATTTACTTTGTAAGTTTCATAAGTTCTATTTATATAATTGATATTGCATCATTTTTGGCACTTTGCCAAATGGGGTCATTTGATATATCAAATTGAAGGTCTTAACGAGCTCTACTCAAAAATGAAAATGTTAAACCCCCTTTTCATCCCAGGGGGAAGGGTGGGGTCATTTAGTGCAAAAAATTCAAACTTCTCAGATGGTTAGGTTGTCGCATATCAAATTAAAGTCCATAAAGCGTACATTTCAAATATCAAATTGACGTTCCCAAAAATGGGTTGGGTGGGGTCATTGAGTGCAAAAAATAAAATTTTCTTTTAAGGTAAGGTTGTTGTATTTCAAATGAAAGGTCGTAACGTGTACATTTCAAATATCAGATTCTTGTCCTCAAAAAATTAGTTGGATGGGGTTATTAAGTGCAAAAATAAAACTTTCTAGAACATAACGTTGTCGCATATCAAATGAAAGATAATCAAGTCTAGATTACATATATCATACTTCCGATATCAAAACTGTAGGCGGATGGGGTCATTAAGTGTAAAAAGTGAAAATTTTCAAAAGGTATGCTTGTCGTATATCAAATGAAAGGTCTTAAAGAGTACATTACAAAAACATCACTTTTGCAGGAAAGACCTTTCAATTGTTTTACAAACAATTGAGATACTAGTCTTTTTCTTTTTCTTTTTTTTTTTTTCTTTTTTTTCTTCCAACATTTTTTTGACATGCTCTACCCTCGTTTCTATTAAAGTTATCAAGACCAAATTTGAACCACCGATAGACCTCATCATGAAGTATTACCAGATGACCCTGTTTTGGATTTCATCATCTCCTTTGGAAGTTATCTCCCTTTTATTGGGTTTTTTCAACATGGTCCCCCCTCGTTGTTTTTAAAGATATCATGATTTTATTTGTACTAAAGGTAGATCTCATCATGATGTATTACCATATGAGGCTGCGTAGGATTTCATCAACTCCTTTGAGAGTTGCATCCCCTTGAAACAATTTCTTTTATTTGCATTTTTCTTAAAAAGTATAAGAGATAGAATCGAATTGAAAATTGCAGCATCTACAAGAACAAATGGCAATGTTAATAAACATAAACAATTAGTATGTTATCAACCCTTATACGGAGTTATTTCCCTTTAAAAATTTTACTCAATTTTATAAAAATTGTATTTCGAGAACCGGAAGTCGTAGAGACTTGGGACCTTCACCAATAATCTTTATTTCATGTGACCTTTAACTTCCACCCAAGGTCAAAGGTCACTGAGTGCAAAAAAAATTTACACTGCAATTTCAAGCTTACATATTAAGAAAACGATAAGAGTTTGCTGCATACATACTGTGTATATAATGTTCCTCTCGACGAGCTCTACATTTTATTCATTAAGCTCAAAACTGTCCGACCGTCTGTTCACAAGTTACGACGAGATAATTCTTAAAAGTACAGTACTGTGTGTATATCTTTTTAAAGGTAACAGATATCAACCTACTATAAATTGCAAAAATGATCAGTATTTTAAAACCTTCAATTTGAGGTCAATGTCAGGTCATGATGAAATTTTACCTTGACCTTCAAAGTGTACTATGACCGTGACCTCGTGACATTTGAAAGGTCAAGTAGTCCTGAGTTGAATGGTGGTAGTCTTATGTCTCTACGACTTCCGGTTCTCAAGTTTGGTATTGCATCATATATTTGATGATTCCTTGTGACCTTGATGAACTTTCGAATTGTCCAAATTTTTTCTGCAATGTTGCCCTTTAACTGCAGATCATTTATCATTTAACAAATTTGAGATATCTGTTGTCGTTTAAGAGATAATGCAGTTTAAAATTTTGCGAGCGGAGGCATGTACTTCTGAATCAACAACAGTTTACCACCTGAAATTTTCAGAAATAAAAGAATTCAACATTGTTATAATTTTGACAAAATACTAAAAACATTCAATGAAAAAAAAACAACCAAAAAATCAAGACCTTAAAAAAAAAAAGAAAAAAAAAAAAACATTAGAAAAACAATAAGGTCTTTCCTAACGGAGTGGAAAGACCTTAAAAAAAGAAAGAAAAAAAAAACATTAGAAAAACAATAAGGTCTTTCCTAACGGAGTGGAAAGACCTTAAAAAAAAAAAAAAAGAAAAACAATAAGGTCTTTCCTAACGGAGTGGAAAGACCTTAAATATACGACAAGCATACCTTCTGAAACTTTTCGCTTATTACACTTAATGACCCCATCCGCCTATATTTTCGAGATTGGAAGTATGATATATGTAATTTAGACTTGATCTTTCATTTGATATGCGACAGCACCATGTTCTAGAAAGTTTGATTTTTGCACTAAATAACCCTATCCAACTCATTTTTGGAGGACAGGAATTTGATATTTGAAATGTACACGTTAAGACCTTTCATTTGATATACAACAACCTTATCTTAAAAGAAAATTTATTTTTTGCACTCAATGACCCCATCCAACCCATTTTTTGGGGACGTCAATTTCATATTTGAAATGTACGCTTTATGGACTTTCATTTGATATGCGACAACCTAACCATCTGAGAAGTTTGAATTTTTTGCACTAAATGACCCCATCCTTCCCACTGGGATGAAAAAGGGGTTTGAAATTTTTATTTTGAAGTAGAGCTCATTTAGACTTTCAATTTGATATACATAATGACCACATTTTACAAAGTGCCAAAAATGATGCAATATCAATTATATAAATAGAACTTATGAAACTTACAAAGTCAATGTAAAAGATGATAATTTCAAATTGATGTCTTTTTTAAGTTTTTCATTGAAAGTTTCTGGTAATTATTCAAACATATAATCATGTTAAACTCTTCACATTCTGAAAGGTTCTGGTGGAAAGCGGTTGTTGATACAGAAATACATGCCTCCGCTTGCAAAATTTCAAAGTGCATTATCTCTAAAACGATAACAGTTATCTCAGATATGTTAAAAGAAAAATGATCTACAGTAAAGGGACAACATTACAGAAAAAAATTTGGGACAATTCCGAAATTCATCAAGGTCATAATGAATCATCAAATATATGATGCAATACCAAACTTGAGAACCGGAAGTCGTAGAGACATGGGACTACCACCATTCAACTCAGGACCACTTGACCTTTCAAATGTCACAAGATCAAGGTCATATAACACTTTGAAGGTCAAGGTAAAATTTCATCATGACCTGATATTGACCTCAAATTGAAGGTCTGAAAATACTGATCATTTTTCCAATTTATAGTAGGTAGATATCTGTTACCTTTAAAAAGATATAAACACAATATTATACTTTTAAGAATTATCTCGTTGCAACTTTTGAACAGATGGTCGGACAGTTTTGAGCTTAATGTATAAAATGTAGAGCTCGTCGAGAGGAACATTTTATACACAGTATGTATGCAGCAAACTCTTATCGTTTTCTTAATATGCAAGCTTGAAATTGCAGCGTAATTTTTTTTTTGCACTCGGTGACCTTTGACCTTGGGTGCAAATTGAAGGTCACATAAACTTAAGATTATTGGTGTAGGTCTCAAGTCTCTACTACTTCCGGTTCTCGAAATACAATTTTTCAAAAATTGTGTATATTTTTTCAAGAGAAATAACTCCTTATAAGGGTCAATAAAAAAATTATTTTATATGTTCATTAACATTGCCATCTGTTCCTGTACATGTTGCTGTTTTCAAATCGATTCTATTCCTAATACTTTTTGAGAAAAATGCAAAAGAAAGAAATTGTTTCAAGGGGATATAACTCGCATAGGGGATGATGAAATCCTATGCAGCCTCATATGGTAGTACATCATGATGAGATCTACCTATTGTCCAAATAAGGTCATGATATCTTTAAAAACAACGAGGGGGAACCATGTCGAAAAAATCCAATAAAAGGGAGATAACTTCTACAGGGGATGATGAAATCCTTAACAGGGTCATGTGGTAATACTTCAAGATGAGGTCTATCGATGGTCCATATTTGGTCTTGATAACTTCAACAGAAACGGGGGGAGGGCATTCCCAAAAAAATGTTGGAAGAAAAAAAAGAAAAAAAAAAAAAAAAAAAAAAAAGAAAAAGAAAAAAAAAAAAAAAGAAAAAAAAAAACATTAGAAAAACAATAAGGTCTTTCCTAACGGAGTGGAAAGACCTTAACTAGTATCGCAATTGTTTGTAAAACAATTGAAAGGTCTTTCCTGTTAAAGTGATGTTTTCGTAATGTACTTTGTACGACCTTTCATTTGATATACGACAAGCATACCTTCTGAAACTTTTCGCATTTTACACTTAATAACCCCATCCGCCTTTATTTTCGAGATCGGAAGTATGATATATGTAATGTAGATTTGATGATCTTTCATTTGATATGCGACAACGCCATGTTCTAGAAAGTTTGATTTTAGCACTTAATAACCCCATCCAACTCATTTTTTGAGGACAGGAATCTGATATTTGAAATGTACACGTTACGACCTTTCATTTGATATACAACAACCTTACCTTAAAAGAAAATTTTATTTTTTGCACTCAATGACCCCACCCAACTCATTTTTTGGGGACGTCAATTTGATATTTGAAATGTACGCTTCATGGACTTTCATTTGATATGCGACAACTTAACCATCTGAGAAGTTTGAATTTTTTGCACTAAATGACCCCACCCTTCCCACTCGAATGAAAAAGGGGTTTAGAATTTTCATTTTTGAGTAGAGCTTATTAAGACCTTCAATTTGATATATCAAATGACCCCATTTGGCAAAGTGCAAAAAATGATGCAATATCAATTGTATAAATAGAACTTATGAAACTCACAAAGTCAATGCAAAACATGAAAATTTCAAATTGATTTTTTGGGGTTTTTTTTCGTTGAATTTTTTTGGTATTTGGTCAAACATATAACCATGTTAAAGTCTTCAATTTCTGAAAATTTCAGGTGGTAACCTGTTGTTAATTAAGAAATACATGCCTCCGCTCGCAAAATTTTAAACTACATTATCTCTAAAACGACAATAGATATCTCAAATCTGTTAAATAATAAATGATCTGCAGTTGAAGGCCAACATTGTATAAAAATTTGGGACAATTCCAAAGTTCATCAAGGTCACAAGGAATCATCAAATATATGATGCAATACCAAACTTGAGAACCGGAAGTCGTAGAGCCATGGCACTACCACCATTCAACTCAGGACCACTTGACCTTTCAAATATCACGAGGTCAAGGTCATAGTACATTTTGAAGGTCAAGGTAAAATTTCATCATGACCTGACATTGACCTCAAACTGAAGGTCTTAAAATACTGATCATTTTTCCAATTTATAGTAGGTTGATATCTGTTACCTTTAAAAAGATATACACACAATACTATACTTTTAGGAATCATCTCATCGTAACTTTTGAACAGACGGTCGGACAGTTTTGAGCTTTCTGTATAAAATGTAGAGCTCGTCGAGAGGAACATTTTATACACAGTATGTATGCAGCAAACTCTTATCATTTTCTTAATATGCAAGCTTGAAATTGCAGCGTAAATTTTTTTTGCACTCGGTGACCTTTGACATTGGGTGCAAATTGAAGGTCACATTAACTTAAGATTATTGGTGAAGGTCCCAAGTCTCTACGACTTCCGGTTCTCGAAATACAATTTTTAAAAAATTGTGTATATTTTTTCAAGAGAAATAACTCCTTATAAGGGTCAATAACAAAATTATCTTATATGTTCATTAACATTGCCATCTGTTCTTGTACATGTTGCCGTTTTCAAATCGATTCTATCCCTAATACTTTTTGAGAAAAATGCAAAAGAAAGAAATTTTTTCAAGGGGATATAACTCGCATAGAAGATGATGAAATCCTATGCAGCCTCATATGGTAGTACATCATGATGAGATCTACCTATTGTCCAAATAAGGTCATGATATCTTTCCAAACAACGAGTAGGGGCCATGTCGAAAAAATCCAATAAAAGGGAGATAACTTTTACAGGGGATGATGAAATCCTTAACAGGGTCATCTGGTAATACTTCATGATGAGGTCTATCGATGGCCCATATTTGGTCTTGATAACTTCAACAGAAACGGGGGGAGGGCATTCCCAAAAAAATGTTGGAAGAAAAAAAAGAAAAAAAAAAAAAGAAAAAGAAAAAGAAAAAGAAAGAAAAACATTAGAAAAACAATAAGGTCTTTCCTAACGGAGTGGAAAGACCTTAAAAAAAAAAAAGAAAAAAAAAAAAAACATTAGAAAAACAATAAGGTCTTTCCTAACGGAGTGGAAAGACCTTAAAAAAAGAAAGAAAAAAAAAACATAAGAAAAACAATAAGGTCTTTCCTAACGGAGTGGAAAGACCTTAAAAAAAAAAAAAAGAAAAACAATAAGGTCTTTCCTAACGGAGTGGAAAGACCTTAAATATACGACAAGCATACCTTCTGAAACTTTTCGCTTATTACACTTAATGACCCCATCCGCCTATATTTTCGAGATTGGAAGTATGATATATGTAATGTAGACTTGATCTTTCATTTGATATGCGACAGCACCATGTTCTAGAAAGTTTGATTTTTGCACTAAGTAACCCTATCCAACTCATTTTTTGAGGACAGGAATTTGATATTTGAAATGTACACGTTAAGACCTTTCGTTTGATATACAACAACCTTATCTTAAAAGAAAATTTATTTTTTGCACTCAATGACCCCATCCAACCCATTTTTTGGGGACGTCAATTTCATATTTGAAATGTACGCTTTATGGACTTTCATTTGATTTGCGACAACCTAACCATCTGAGAAGTTTGAATTTTTTGCACTAAATGACCCCATCCTTCCCACTGGGATGAAAAAGGGGTTTGAAATTTTTATTTTGAAGTAGAGCTCATTTAGACTTTCAATTTGATATACATAATGACCACATTTTACAAAGTGCCAAAAATGATGCAATATCAATTATATAAATAGAACTTATGAAACTTACAAAGTCAATGTAAAAGATGAAAATTTCAAATTGATGTCTTTTTTAAGTTTTTCATTGAAAGTTTCTGGTAATTATTCAAACATATAATCATGTTAAACTCTTCACATTCTGAAAGGTTCTGGTGGAAAGCGGTTGTTGATACAGAAATACATGCCTCCGCTTGCAAAATTTCAAAGTGCATTATCTCTAAAACGATAACAGTTATCTCAGATATGTTAAAAGAAAAATGATCTACAGTAAAATGACAACATTACAGAAAAAAATTTGGGACAATTCCGAAATTCATCAAGGTCATAATGAATCATCAAATATATGATGCAATACCAAACTTGAGAACCGGAAGTCGTAGAGACATGGGACTACCACCATTCAACTCATGACCACTTGACCTTTCAAATGTCACAAGATCAAGGTCATATTACACTTTGAAGGTCAAGGTAAAATTTCATCATGACCTGATATTGACCTCAAATTGAAGGTCTGAAAATACTGATCATTTTTCCAATTTATAGTAGGTAGATATCTGTTACCTTTAAAAAGATATAAACACAATATTATACTTTTAAGAATTATCTCGTTGCAACTTTTGAACAGACGGTCGGACAGTTTTGAGCTTAATGTATAAAATGTAGAGCTCGTCGAGAGGAACATTTTATACGCAGTATGTATGCAGCAAACTCTTATCGTTTTCTTAATATGTTAGCTTGAAATTGCAGCGTAAATTTTTTTTGCACTCAGTGACCTTTGACCTTGGGTGCAAATTAAAGGTCACACAAATTAAAGATTATTGGTGAAGGTCCCAAGTCTCTACGACTTCCGGTTCTCGAAATAGAATTTTTCAAAAATTGTGTATAATTTTGAAAGGGAAATAACTCCTTATAAGGGTTAATAACAAACTAATTGTTCATGTTTATTAACATTGCCATTTGTTCTTGTTGATGCTGCCACTTTCAATTTGATTCTATGTCTAATACTTTTTAAGAAAAATGCAAATAAAAGAAATTGCTTCAAGGGGATATAACTCTCAAATGGGATGATGAAATATTTTGCCGCCTCATATGGTAATATATCATGATGAGATTTATCTATTGTACAAATAAGGACATGATATCTTTAAAAACAACGAAGGGGAGCCATGTTGAAAAAAACCAATAAAAGGGAGATAACTTCTAAAGGGGATGATGAAATCCTTAACAGGGTCATCTGGTAAAACTTCATGATGAGGTCTACCGATGGTCCATATTTGGTCTTGATAACTCCAATAGAAACAAGGGGAGGGCATGTCAAAAAAATGTTGGAAGAAAAAAAAGAAAAAAAAAAAAAAAAAAAAGAAAAAAAAAAAAAACTAGTATCTCAATTGTTTGTAAAACAATTGAAAGGTCTTTCCTGTTAAAGTGATGTTTTCGTAATGTACTTTGTACGACCTTTCATTTGATATACGACAAGCATACCTTCTGAAACTTTTCGCATTTTACACCTAATGACCCCATCCGCCTTAATTTTCGAGATCGGATGTATGATATATGTAATGTAGACTTGATGATCTTTCATCTGATATGCGACAACGCCATGTTCTAGAAAGTTTGATTTCAGCACTTAATAACCCCATCCAACTCATTTTTTGAGGACAGGAATCTGATATTTTAAATGTACACGTTGCGACCTTTCATTTGATATACAACAACCTTACCTTAAAAGAAAATTTTATTTTTTGCACTCAATGACCCCACCTAACTCATTTTTTGGGGACGTCAATTTGATATTTGAAATGTACGCTTCATGGACTTTCATTTGATATGCGACAACCTAACCATCTGAGAAGTTTGAATTTTTTGCACTAAATGACCCTACCCTTCCCACTGGAATGAAAAAGGGGTTTAGAATTTTCATTTTTGAGTAGAGCTTATTAAGACCTTCAATTTGATATATCAAATGACCCCATTTGGCAAAGTGCCAAAAATGATGCAATATCAATTGTATAAATAGAACTTATGAAACTCACAAAGTGAATGCAAAACATGAAAATTTCAAATTGATTTTTTGGGTTTTTTTTTCGTTGAATGTTTTTGGTAATAAGTCAAACATATCACCATGTTAAACTCTTCACTTTCTGAAAATTTCAGGTGGTTACTTGTTGTTAATTCAGAAATACATGCCTCCGCTCGCAAAATTTCAAACTGCATTATCTCTAAAACGACAATAGATATCTCAAATCTGTTAAATGATAAATAATCTGCAGTTGATGGGCAACATTGTATAAAAATTTGACACAATTCCAAAGTTCATCAAGGTCACAAGAAATCATCAAATATATGATGCAATACCAAACTTGAGAACCGGAAGTCGTAGAGACATAAGACTACCACCATTCAACTCAATACTACTTGACCTTTCAAATATCACGAGGTCAAGGTCATAGTACACTTTGAAGGTCAAGGTAAAATTTCATCATGACCTGACATTGACCTCAAATTGATCATTTTTTCAATTTATAGTAGGTTGATATCTGTTACCTTCAAAAAGATATACACACAGTACTGTTCTTTTAAGAATTATCTCGTCGTAACTTGTGAACAGACGGTCGGACAGTTTTGAGCTTAATGAATAAAATGTAGAGCTCGTCGAGAGGAACATTTTATACACAGTATGTATGCAGGAAACTCTTATCGTTTTCTTAATATGTAAGCTTGAAATTGCAGTGTAAATTTTTTTTGCACTCAGTGACCTTTGACCTTGGGCGGAAGTTAAAGGTCACATGAAATAAAGATAATTGGTGAAGGTTCCAAGTCTCTACGACTTCCGGTTCTCGAAATACAATTTTTATAAAATTGAGTAAAATTTTTCAAGGGAAATAACTCCGTATAAGGGTTAATAAGGGTTAATAACTACGACTTCCGGTTCTCGAAATACAATTTTTATAAAATTGAGTAAAATTTTTCAAGGGAAATAACTCCGTATAAGGGTTAATAACATACTAATTGTTTATGTTTATTAACATTGCCATTTGTTCTTGTAGATACTGCAATTTTCAATTCGATTCTATCTCTTATACTTTTTAAGAAAAATGCAAATAAAAGAAATTGCTTCAAGGGGATGCAACTCTCAAAGGAGTTGATGAAATCCTAAGCAGCCTCATATGTTAATACATCATGATGAGATCTACCTTTAGTACAAATAAAATCATGATATCTTTAAAAACAACGAGGGAGGGCCATGTCGAAAAAATCCAATAAAAGGGAGATAACTTCTACAGGGGATGATGAAATCTTTAACAGGGTCATGTGGTAATACTTCATGATGAGGTCTATCGATGGTCCATATTTGGTCTTGATAACTTCAACAGAAACGGGGGGAGGGCATTCCCAAAAAAATGTTGGAAGAAAAAAAAGAAAAAAAAAAAAAAAAAAAAAAAAGAAAAAGAAAAAAAAAAAAAAAAAGAAAAAAAAAAAACATTAGAAAAACAATAAGGTCTTTCCTAACGGAGTGGAAAGACCTTAACAATAAGGTCTTTCCTAACGGAGTGGAAAGACCTTAAACATTAGAAAAACAATAAGGTCTTTCCTAACGGAGTGGAAAGACCTTAAACATTAGAAACACAATAAGGTCTTTCCTAACGGAGTGAAAAGACCTTAAAAACATTAGAAAAACTATAAGGTCTTTCCTAACGGAGTGGAAAGACCTTAAAAAAAAAAAAAGAAAAAAAAAAACATTAGAAAAACAATAAGGTCTTTCCTAACGGAGTGGAAAGACCTTAAAAAGAAAAAGAAAAAACATTAGAAAAACAATAAGGTCTTTCCTAACGGAGTGGAAAGACCTTAAATATAAATCAATTGTAAACGATATTTCCCCTTTGAAACATGATTGATTGCACTGTTTGTTTGTTTGTTTGTTTGTTTGTTTGTGTTGCTGTTTGTGTTTGTTTGTTTGTTTCCTTGTTTGTTTCTTTGTTTATTTGATTTGTTCAATGGATGTCTTAACTTCTACCAGTCAATTGTTCACATTACAAGGAGAAAAAAAAACCACGAGTAAAACACACACATCAGATTTACCGTCCAGTGAGAGATATTTCTTTATTTATTAGGATACAGTTACAGAAAGAAACAGGTTTGAGTACCCCCCCCCCCCCCCCCCCCCTCCTAAATTAAAAGAGGGGCGGTACCCAAGTTTACATTTTCATACAAGTGTCCGTATCCTTGATTTGGTTAAGTTTCTATATTTAGATTGGAAAGTTTTTATTCTATTTCAGGTCCCGCGCGCATCTCTCGAGCGGATAGTGACGTCACGAGGCTTGTTGATATTAGCGAAAACTTAGCAAATTTCTTTCTTTTTAGGTGGAGATGTTGGACAGACAACATGTATATCGACGGAATAACACATAACGTATTTCTTTTGTTACTGTAGATAATTGATGTTTTGATCGGAGTTCACGAGCAGTGCATGCTTTTGATTTATTTTATCCTGTGTACTTTTAAAACACGTTTATCGATTATTTTCATACAATGTACATATTTCAGCAGCAGTTTGTAACACAGATTTGTATTTCTATCTATGAGCAGACATTTTATTGTAGGATTTCACTGATATTTACGGAACTCGAAAGCGATTGCTACGGCATTGACATTTGTTTTCTCTACGAAAATTCTTGGGAGGTAGCTGCACAACGTTGTTATAATTAGATGGAATACATGTATACCCTGCTGGCTGCAAAGTTAGAGGTCAATTGGACATGTAGTTTCAGCGAAGTACCGCACATAAGAATTTGGTCCGTGTTTTCCGAGAAAAATTGTCATAACAATAATATACGACAACCTTATCTTAGAAGACAATTAATTTTTTCCACTCAATGACCTGACCCCACCCAACCCATTTTTGGGGGACGTAAATTTGATATTTTAAAAAATACGCTTTATGGACTTTCATTTGATATTCGACAACCTAACCATGTAAGAAGTTCTATTTTTGCACTAAATGACCCAACCCTTCTAATGGGATGAAAAAGGGGGGTTGAAATTTTCATTTTTGAGTAGAGGTCATTTAGACGTTCAATTTGATATACAAAATGACCCCGTTTGACAAAGTACCAAAAATGATGCAATATCAATTGTATAAATAGAACTTATGAAACTTACAAAGTCAATGTAAAACATGAAAATTTCAAATAGATTTTTTTTTTTTCGTTTTTCATTGAATGTGTTTAATAATTAGTCAAACATATAACCATGTTAAACTCTTCAATTTCTGAAAATTTCAGGTGGTAAGCTGTTGTTGATTCAGAAATACCTGCCTCCGCTCGCAAAATTTCAAACTTGATTATCTCTAAAACGACAACAGATATCTCAAATCTGCTAAGTGAAAAATGATCTGCATTTAAAGTACAACATTGTAGAAAAAAAATTGGAACAATTTCAAAGTTCATAAAGGTCACAAGGAATAATCAAATATATGATGCAATACCAAACTTGAGAACCGTAAGTCGTAGAGACATGGGACTACCACCATTGAACTAAGGACCACTTGACCTTTCAAATGTCATAAGGTAAAGGTCATAGTACACTTTGAAGGTCAAGGTAAAATTTCATCATGACCGGACATTGACCTCAAATTGAAGGTCTTGAATTACTGATCATCTTTGCAGTTTATAGTAGTTTGATATCTGTTGCCTTTTAAAAGATATACATATGTTACTATAGTTTTAAGAATTATGTTAATGTAACTTTTGAACAGACGGTCGGACATTTTTGAGCTAAAAGTATAAAATGTAGAGCTCGTCGAGAGGAACATTTTATACACAGTATGTATGCAGCAAACTCTTATCGTTTTCTTAATATGCAAGCTTGAAATTGCAGCGTAATTTTTTTTTGCACTCGGTGTCCTTTGACCTTAGGTGCAAATTGAAGGTCACATAAACTTAAGATTATTGGTGTAGGTCCCAAGTCTCTACGACTTCCGGTTCTCGAAATACAATTTTTTAAAAATTGTGTATATTTTTTCAATAGAAATAACTTTTTATAAGGGTCAATAACAAAATTATTTTATATTTTCATTAACATTGTCATCTGTTCTTGTACATGTTGCCGTTTTCAAATCGATTCTATCCCTAATACTTTTTGAGAAAAATGCAAAAGAAAGAAATTTCTTCAAGGGGATATAACTCGCATAGAAGATGATGAAATCCTATGCAGCCTCATATGGTAGTACATCATGATGAGATCTACCTATTGTCCAAATAAGGTCATGATATCTTTACAAACAACGAGTGGGGGCCATGTCGAAAAAATCCAATAAAAGGGAGATAACTTTTACAGGGGATGATGAAATCCTTAACAGGGTCATCTGGTAATACTTCATGATGAGGTCTATCGATGGCCCATATTTGGTCTTGATAACTTTAACACAAACGGGGGGAGGGCATTCCCAAAAAAATGTTGGAAGAAAAAAAAGAAAAAACTAGTATCTCAATTGTTTGTAAAACAATTGAAAGGTCTTTCCTGCAAAAGTGATGTTTTTGTAATGTACTCTTTAAGACCTTTCATTTGATATACGACAAGCATACCTTCTAAAAATTTTCACTTTTTACACTTAATGACCCCATCCGCCTACATTTTTGATATCGGAAGTATGATATATGTAATCTAGACGACTTGATTATCTTTCATTTGATATGCAACAACGCCATGTTCTAGAAAGTTTGATTTCTGCACTTAATAACCCCATCCAACTTATTTTTGGAGGACAGGAATCTGATATTTGAAATGTACACGTTACGAGCTTTCATTTGAAATACAACAACCTTACCTTAAAAGAAAATTATATTTTTTGCACTCAATGACCCCACCCAACCAATTTTTTGGGGACGTCAATGTGATATTTGAAATGTACGCTTTATGGACTTTCATTTGATATGCGACAACCTAACCATCTGAGAAGTTTGAATTTTTTGCACTAAATGACCCCACCCTTCCCCCTGGGATGAAAAGGGGGTTTTACATTTTCATTTTTGAGTAGAGCTCGTTAAGACCGTCAATTTGATATATCAAATGACCCCATTTGGCAAAGTGCCAAAAATGATGCAATATCAATTATATAAATAGAACCTATGAAACTTACAAAGTCAATGCAAAACATGAAAATTTCAAATTGATTTTTTGGTTTTTTTTTTCATTGAATGTTTTTGGTATTATGTCAAACACATAACCATGTTAAACTCTTCAATTTCTTATAATTTCAGGTGGTTACCTGTTGTTGATTCAGAAATACATGCCTCCGCTCGCAAAATTTCAAAGTGCATTATCTCTTAAACGACAACAGGTATCTCAAATTTGTTTAAAGAAAAATGATCTACAGTAAAAGGACAACATTTTAGAAAAAAATTGGACAATTCCAAAGTTCATCAAGGTCACAATGAATTATCAAATATATGATGCAATATCAAACTTGAGAACCGGAAGTCGTAGAGACATGGGACTACCACCATTCAACTCAAGACCACTTGACCTTTCAAATGTCACAAGGTCAAGGTCATAGTACACTCTGAAGGTCAAGGTTAAATTTCATCATGACCGGACATTGACCTCAAATTGAAGGCCTTGAATTACTGATCATCTTTGCAGTATATAGTAGGTTGATATCTGTTACCTTTCAAAAGATATACATATGTTACTATAGTTTTAAGAATTATGTTAATGTAACTTTTGAACAGACGGTCGGACATTTTTGAGCTTAATGTATAAAATGTAGAGCTCGTCGAGAGAAACATTTTATGCACAGTGTGTATACAGCAAACTCTTATCGTTTTCTTAATATGCAAGCTTGAAATTGCAGCGTAAATTTTTTTTGCACTCTGTGACCTTTGACCTTGGGTGCAAATTGAAGGTCACATGAACTTAAGATTATTGGTGTAGGTCCCAAGTCTCTACGACTTACGGTTCTCGAAATACAATTTTTCAAAAATTGTGTATATTTTTTTAGGAGAATTAACTCCTTATAAGGGTCAATAACAAAATTATTTTATATGTTCATTAACATTGCCATCTGTTCCTGTATATGTTGCCGTTTTCAAATCGATTCTATCCCTAATACTTTTTGAGAAAAATGCAAAGGAAAGAAATCGCTTTAAGGGGATATAACTCGCATAGGGGATGATGAAATCCTATGCAGCCTCATATGGTAGTACATCATGATGAGTACAACCTATTGTCAAAATAAGGTCATGATATCTTTAAAAACAACGAAGGGGGGCCATGTTGAAAAAATCTAATAAAAGGGGGATAACTTCTACAGGGGATGATGAAATCCTTAACAGGGTCATGTGGTAATACTTCATGATGATGTCTATCGATGGTCCATATTTGGTCTTGATAACTTTAACAGAAACTGGGGGAGGGCATTCCCAAAAAAATGTTGGAAGAAAAAAAAGAAAAAAAAAAAAAAAAAAAAAAAGAAAAAGAAAAAGAAAAAAAAAAAAGAAAAAAAAAAAACATTAGAAAAACAATAAGGTCTTTCCTAACGGAGTGGAAAGACCTTAACTAGTATGTCAATTGTTTGTAAAACAATTGAAAGGTCTTTCCTGTAAAAGTGATGTTTTTGTAATGTACTCTTTAAGACCTTTCATTTGATATACGACAAGCATACCTTCTGAAAATTTTCCCTTTTTACACTTAATGACCCCATCCGCCTACATTTTTGATATCGGAAGTACGATATTTGTAATTTAGACTTGATTATCTTTCATTTGATATGCGACAACGCCATGTTCTAGAAAGTTTGATTTTTGCACTTAATAACCCCATCCAACTCATTTTTTGAGGACAGGAATCTGATATTTGAAATGTACACGTTACGACCTTTCATTTGAAATACAACAACCTTACCTTAAAAGAAAATTATATTTTTTGCACTCAATGATCCCACCCAACCCATTTTTTGGGGACGTCAATTTGATATTTGAAATGTACGCTTTATTGACTTTCATTTGATATGCGACAACCTAACCATCTGAGAAGTTTGAATTTTTTGCACTAAATGACCCCACCCTTCCCCCTGGGATGAAAAGGGGGTTTAACATTTTCATTTTTGAGTACAGCTCGTTAAGACCTTCAATTTGATATATCAAATGACCCCATTTGGCAAAGTGCCAAAAATGATGCAATATCAATTATATAAATAGAACTTATGAAACTTACAAAGTAAATGCAAAACATGAAAATTTCAAATTGATTTTTTGTTTTTTTTTTCATTGAATGTTTTTGGTATTTTGTCAAAATTATAACAATGTTGAATTCTTTTATTTCTGAAAATTTCAGGTGGTAAACTGTTGTTGATTCAGAAGTACATGCCTCCGCTCGCAAAATTTTAAACTGCATTATCTCTTAAACGACAACAGATATCTCAAATTTGTTAAATGATAAATGATCTGCAGGTAAAGGGCAACATTGCAGAAAAAATTTGGACAATTCGAAAGTTCATCAAGGTCACAAGGAATCATCAAATATATGATGCAATACCAAACTTGAGAACCGGAAGTCGTAGAGACATAAGACTACCACCATTCAACTCAGGACTACTTGACCTTTCAAATGTCACGAGGTCACGGTCATAGTACACTTTGAAGGTCAAGGTAAAATTTCATCATGACCTGACATTGACCTCAAATTGAAGGTTTTAAAATACTGATCATTTTTGCAATTTATAGTAGGTTGATATCTGTTACCTTTAAAAAGATATACACACAGTACTGTACTTTTAAGAATTATCTCGTCGTAACTTGTGAACAGACAGTCGGACAGTTTTGAGCTTAATGAATAAAATGTAGAGCTCGTCGAGAGGAATATTTTATACACAGTATGTATGCAGCAAACTCTTATCGTTTTCTTAATATGTAAGCTTGAAATTGCAGTGTAAATTTTTTTTGCACTCGGTAACCTTTGACCTTGGATGGAAGTTAAAGGTCACATGCAATAAAGATTATTGGTGAAGGTCCCAAGTCTCTACGACTTCCGGTTCTCGAAATACAATTTTTATAAAATTGAGTAAAATTTTTCAAGGGAAATAACTCCGTATAAGGGTTGATAACATACTAATTGTTTATGTTTATTAACATTGCCATTTGTTCTTGTAGATGCTGCAATTTTCAATTCGATTCTATCTTTTATACTTTTTAAGAAAAATGCAAATAAAAGAAATTGCTTCAAGGGGATGCAACTCTCAAAGGAGTTGATGAAATCCTACGCAGCCTCATATGGTAATACATCATGATGAGATCTACCTTTAGTACATATAAAATCATGATATCTTTAAAAACAACGAGGGGGGACCATGTTGAAAAAACCCAGTAAAAGGGAGATAACTTCCAAAGGAGATGATGAAATCCTAAACAGGGTCATCTGGTAATACTTCATGATGAGGTCTATCGGTGGTTCAAATTTGGTCTTGATAACTTTAATAGAAACGAGGGTAGGGCATGTCAAAAAAATGTTGGAAGAAAAAAAAGAAAAAAAAAAAAAAGAAAAAGAAAAGAAAAAAAAACATTAGAAAAACAATAAGGTCTTTCCTAACGGAGTGGAAAGACCTTAAAAACTAGTATCACAATTGTTTGTAAAACAATTGAAAGGTCTTTCCTGTTAAAGTGATGTTTTTGTAATGTACTTTGTACGACCTTTCATTTGATATACGACAAGCATACCTTCTGAAACTTTTCGCATTTTACACTTAATGACCCCATCCGCCTTAATTTTCGAGATCGGAAGTATGATATATGTAATGTAGACTTGATGATATTTCATTTGATATGCGACAACGCCATGTTCTAGAAAGTTTGATTTTAGCACTTAATAACCCCATCCAACTCATTTTTTGAGGACAGGAATCTGATATTTGAAATGTCCACGTTACGACCTTTCATTTGATATACAACAACCTTACCTTAAAAGAAAATTTTATTTTTTGCACTCAATGACCCCATCCAACTCATTTTTTGAGGACAGGAATCTGATATTTGAAATGTCCACGTTACGACCTTTCATTTGATATACAACAACCTTACCTTAAAAGAAAATTTTATTTTTTGCACTCAATGACCCCACCCAACTCATTTTTTGGGGACGTCAATTTGATATTTGAAATGTACGCTTAATGGACTTTCATTTGATATGCGACAACCTAACCATCTGAGAAGTTTGAAGTTTTTGCACTAAATGACCCTACCCTTCCCACTGGAATGAAAAAGGGGTTTAGAATTTTCATTTTTGAGTAGAGCTTATTAAGACCTTCAATTTGATATATCAAATGAATCCATTTGGCAAAGTGCCAAAAATGATGCAATATCAATTGTATAAATAGAACTTATGAAACTCACAAAGTCAATGCAAAACATGAAAATTTCAAATTGATTTTTTGGGGTTTTTTTTCGTTGAATGTTTTTGGTATTTGGTCAAACATATAACCATGTTAAACTCTTCACTTTCTGAAAATTTCAGGTGGTTACCTGTTGTTAAGTCAGAAATACATGCCTCCGCTCGCAAAATTTTAAACTGCATTATCTCTAAAACGACAATAGATATCTCAAATCTGTTAAATGATAAATGATCTGCAGTTGAAGGGCAACATTGTATAAAAATTTGGGACAATTCCAAAGTTCATCAAGGTCACAAGGAATCATCAAATATATGGTGCAATACCAAACTTGAGAACCGGAAGTCGTAGAGACATAAGACTACCACCATTCAACTCAGGACCACTTGACCTTTCAAATATCACAAGGCCAAGGTCATAGTACACTTTGAAGGTCAAGGTAAAATTTCATCATGACCTGACATTGACCTCAAACTGAAGGTCTTAAAATACTGATCATTTTTGCAGTTTATAGTAGGTTGATATCTGTTACCTTTTAAAAGATATGCACAAAAAACTATACTTTAAAGAATTTTCTCGTCGTAACTTTTGAACAGACGGTCGGACATTTTTGAGCTTAATGTATAAAATGTAGAGCTCGTCGGGAGGAACATTTTATACACAGTATGTATGCAGCAAACACTTATCGTTTTCTTAATATGCAAGCTTGAAATTGCAGCGTATTTTTTTTTTGCACTCAGTGACCTTTGACTTTGGGTGCAAGTTAAAGGTCACAGGAATTAAAGATTATTGGCGAAGGTCCCAAGTCTCTACGACTTCCGGTTCTCGAAGTAGAATTTTTCCAAAAATGTAGATAATTTTTCAAGAGAAATAACTCCTTATATGGGTTAATAACACAATAATTGTTTATGTCTATTAACATTGCCATCTGTTCTTGTACATGCTGCCATTTTCAAATTGATTCTATCTGTAATACTTTTTAAGAAAAATGCAAATAAAAGAAATTGCTTCAAGGGGATATAACTCTCAAAGGGGATGATGAAATTCTACGCAGCCTCATATGGTAATACATCATGATGAGATCTACCTATTGTCCACATAAAGTCATGATATCTTTAAAAACAACGACGGGGGGCCATGTCGAAAAAAAACAATAAAAGGGAGATAACTTCTCAAGGGGATGATGAAATCCTCAACAGGGTCATCTAGGTAATACTTCATGATGAGGTCTATCAATGGTCCATATTTGGTCTTGATAATTTCAACAGAAACGGCGGGAGGGCATGTCAAAAAAAATGTTGGAAGAAAAAAAAGAAAAAAAAAAAAAAAAGAAAAAACATTAGAAAAACTAGTATCTCAATTGTTTGTAAAACAATTGAAAGGTCTTTCCTGCAAAAGTGATGTTTTTGTAATGTACTCTTTAAGAGCTTTCATTTGATATACGACAAGCATACTTTCTGAAAATTTTCACTTTTTACACTTAATGACCCCATCCGCCTACATTTTTGATATCGGAAGTATGATATATGTAATCTAGACTTGATTATCTTTCATTTGATATGCGACAACGCCATGTTCTAGAAAGTTTGATTTTTGCACTTAATAACCCCATCCAACTAATGTTTTGAGGACGGGAATCTGATATTTGAAATGTACACGGTAAGACCTTTCATTTGATATACAACAACCTTATCTTAAAAGAAAATTTATTTTTTTTGCACTCAATGACCCCAACCAACCCATTTTTTGGGGACGTCAATTTGATATTTGAAATGTACGCTTTATGGACTTTCATTTGATATGCGACAACCTAACCATCTGAGAAGTTTTAATTTTTTGCACTAAATGACCCCACCCTTCCCCCTGGGATGAAAAGGGGGTTTTACATTTTCATTTTTTAGTAGAGCTCGTTAAGACCTTCAATTTGATATATCAAATGACCCCATTTGGCAAAGTGCCATAAATGATGCAATATCAATTGTATAAATAGAACTTATGAAACTTACAAAGTCAATGCAAAACATGAAAATTTCAAATTGATTTTTTGGTTTTTTTTTTCATTGAATGTTTTTGGTATTTGGTCAAACATATAACCATGTTAAACTCTTCAATTTCTTATAATTTCAGGTGGTTACCTGTTGTTGATTCAGAAATACATGCCTCCGCTCGCAAAATTTCAAAGTGCATTATCTCTTAAACGACAACAGGTATCTCAAATTTGTTAAAAGAAAAATGATCTACAGTAAAAGGACAACATTTTAGAAAAAAAATTGGACATTTCCAAAGTTCATCAAGGTCACAATGAATTATCAAATATATGATGCAATATCAAACTTGAGAACCGTAAGTCGTAGAGACATGGGACTACCACCATTCAACTCAAGACCACTTGACCTTTCAAATGTCACAAGGTCAAGGTCATAGTACACTCTGAAGGTCAAGGTTAAATTTCATCATGACCTGACATTGACCTCAAATTGAAGGCCTTGAATTACTGATCATCTTTGCAGTTTATAGTAGGTTGATATCTGTTACCTTTTAAAAGATATACATATGTTACTATAGTTTTAAGAATTATGTTAATGTAACTTTTGAACAGACAGTCGGACATTTTTGAGCTTAATGTATAAAATGTAGAGCTCGTCGAGAGGAACATTTTATACACAGTATGTATGCAGCAAACTCTTATGGTTTTCTTAATATGCAAGCTTGAAATTGCAGCGTAAAGTTTTTTTGCACTCTGTGACCTTTGACCTTAGATGCAAATTGAAGGTCACATGAACTTAAGATTATTGGTGTAGGTCCCAAGTCTCTACGACTTAGGGTTCTCGAAATACAATTTTTCAAAAATTGTGTATATTTTTTTAAGAGAAATAACTCCTTATAAGGGTCAATAACAAAATTATTTTATATGTTCATTAACATTGCCATCAGTTCCTGTATATGTTGCCGTTTTCAAATCGATTCTATCTCTAATACTTTTTGAGAAAAATGCAAAGGAAAGAAATCGCTTCAAGGGGATATAACTCGCATAGGGGATGATGAAATCCTATGCAGTCACATATGGTAGTACATCATGATGAGATCAACCTATTGTCAAAATAAGGTCATGATATCTTCAAAAACAACGAAGGGGGGCCATGTTGAAAAAATCCAATAAAAGGGGGATAACTTCTACAGGGGATGATGAAATCCTTAACAGGGTCATGTGGTAATACTTCATGATGATGTCTATCGATGGTCCATATTTGGTCTTGATAACTTGAACAGAAACGGGGGGAGGGCATTCCCAAAAAAATGTTGGAAGAAAAAAAAGAAAAAAAAAAAAAAAAAAAAAAAGAAAAAGAAAAAAAAAAAAAAAAAGAAAAAAAAAAAAAAAACATTAGAAAAACAATAAGGTCTTTCCTAACGGAGTGGAAAGACCTTAACAATAAGGTCTTTCCTAACGGAGTGGAAAGACCTTAACTAGTATCTCAATTGTTTGTAAAACAATTGAAAGGTCTTTCTGTAAAAGTGATGTTTTCGTAATGTACTTTCTACAACCTTTCGATTGATATACGACAAGCATACCTTCTCAAACTTTTCGCTTATTACACTTAATGACCCCATCCGCCTATATTTTCGAAATTGGAAGTATGATATATGTAATGTAGACTTGATTATCTTTCATTTGATATGCGACAGCAACATGTTCTAGAAAGTTTGATTTTTGCACTAAATAACCCCATCCAACTCATTTTTGGAGGACATGAATTTGATATTTGAAATGTACACGGTCAGACCTTTCATTTGATATACAACAGCCTTATCTTAAAAGAACATTTATTTTTTGCACTCAATGACCCCACCCAACCCATTTTTTGGGGACGTCAATTTGATATTTGAAATGTACGCTTTATGGACTTTCATTTGATATGCGACAACCTAACCATCTGAGAAGTTTGTTTTGTTTGCACTAAATGACCCCACCCTTCCCACTGGGATGAAAAAGGGGTTTGAAATTTTCATTTTTGAGTACAGCTCATTTAGGCGTTCAATTTGATATACATAATGACTGCATTTGGCAAAGTGCCAAAAATGATGCAACATCAATTATATAAATATAACTTATGAAACTTACAAAGTCAATGTAAAAGATGAAAATTTCAAATTGACTTTTTTTTTTAAAGTTTTTCATTGAAAGTTTTTGGTAATTTGTCAACCATATAGCCATGTTAAACTCAAATGTTCTAGGAAGTTTGATTTTTGCACTAAATAACCCCACCCAACTCTTTTTTTGAGGACAGGAATCTGATATTTGAAATGTACACGTTACGAGCTTTCATTTGAAATACAACAACCTTACCTTAAAAGAAAATTATATTTTTTGCACTCAATGACCCCACCCAACCCATTTTTTGGGGACGTCAATTTGATATTTGAAATGTACGCTTTATGGACTTTCATTTGATATGCGACAACCTAACCATCTGAGAAGTTTTAATTTTTTGCACTAAACGACCCCACCCTTCCCCCTGGGATGAAAAGGGGGTTTTACATTTTCATTTTTGAGTAGAGCTCGTTAAGACCTTCAATTTGATTTATCAAATGAGCCCATTTGGCAAAGTGCCAAAAATGATGCAATATCAATTGTATAAATAGAAATTATGAAACTTACAAAGTCAATGCAAAACATAAAAATTTCAAATTGATTTTTTGGTTTTTTTTTTTCATTGAATGTTTTTGGTATTATGTCAAACATATAACCATGTTAAACTCTTCAATTTCTGAAAATTTCAGGTGGTAAACTGTTGTTGATTCAGAAATTCATGCCTCCGCTCGCAAAATTTCAAAGTGCATTATCTCTTAAACGACAACAGGTATCTCAAATTTGTTAAAAGAAAAATGATCTACAGTAAAAGGACAACATTTAAGAAAAAAAATTGGACAATTCCAAAGTTCATCAAGGTCACAATGAATTATCAAATATATAATGCAATATCAAACTTGAGAACCGGAAGTCGTAGAGACATAAGACTACCACCATTCAACTCAAGATCACTTGACCTTTCAAATGTCACAAGGTCAAGGTCATAGTACACTCTGAAGGTCAAGGTTAAATTTCATCATGACCTGACATTGACCTCAAATTGAAGGCCTTGAATTACTGATCATCTTTGCAGTTTATAGTAGGTTGATATCTGTTACCTTTTAAAAGATATACATATGTTACTATAGTTTTAAGAATTATGTTAATGTAACTTTTGAACAGACAGTCGGACATTTTTGAGCTTAATGTATAAAATGTAGAGCTCGTCGAGAGGAACATTTTATACACAGTATGTATGCAGCAAACTCTTATGGTTTTCTTAATATGCAAGCTTGAAATTGCAGCGTAAAGTTTTTTTGCACTCTGTGACCTTTGACCTTAGATGCAAATTGAAGGTCACATGAACTTAAGATTATTGGTGTAGGTCCCAAGTCTCTACGACTTAGGGTTCTCGAAATACAATTTTTCAAAAATTGTGTATATTTTTTTAAGAGAAATAACTCCTTATAAGGGTCAATAACAAAATTATTTTATATGTTCATTAACATTGCCATCAGTTCCTGTATATGTTGCCGTTTTCAAATCGATTCTATCTCTAATACTTTTTGAGAAAAATGCAAAGGAAAGAAATCGCTTCAAGGGGATATAACTCGCATAGGGGATGATGAAATCCTATGCAGTCACATATGGTAGTACATCATGATGAGATCAACCTATTGTCAAAATAAGGTCATGATATCTTCAAAAACAACGAAGGGGGGCCATGTTGAAAAAATCCAATAAAAGGGGGATAACTTCTACAGGGGATGATGAAATCCTTAACAGGGTCATGTGGTAATACTTCATGATGATGTCTATCGATGGTCCATATTTGGTCTTGATAACTTGAACAGAAACGGGGGGAGGGCATTCCCAAAAAAATGTTGGAAGAAAAAAAAGAAAAAAAAAAAAAAAAAAAAAAAGAAAAAGAAAAAAAAAAAAAAAAAGAAAAAAAAAAAACATTAGAAAAACAATAAGGTCTTTCCTAACGGAGTGGAAAGACCTTAACAATAAGGTCTTTCCTAACGGAGTGGAAAGACCTTAACTAGTATCTCAATTGTTTGTAAAACAATTGAAAGGTCTTTCTGTAAAAGTGATGTTTTCGTAATGTACTTTCTACAACCTTTCGATTGATATACGACAAGCATACCTTCTCAAACTTTTCGCTTATTACACTTAATGACCCCATCCGCCTATATTTTCGAAATTGGAAGTATGATATATGTAATGTAGACTTGATTATCTTTCATTTGATATGCGACAGCAACATGTTCTAGAAAGTTTGATTTTTGCACTAAATAACCCCATCCAACTCATTTTTGGAGGACATGAATTTGATATTTGAAATGTACACGGTCAGACCTTTCATTTGATATACAACAGCCTTATCTTAAAAGAACATTTATTTTTTGCACTCAATGACCCCACCCAACCCATTTTTTGGGGACGTCAATTTGATATTTGAAATGTACGCTTTATGGACTTTCATTTGATATGCGACAACCTAACCATCTGAGAAGTTTGTTTTTTTTGCACTAAATGACCCCACCCTTCCCACTGGGATGAAAAAGGGGTTTGAAATTTTCATTTTTGAGTACAGCTCATTTAGGCGTTCAATTTGATATACATAATGACTGCATTTGGCAAAGTGCCAAAAATGATGCAACATCAATTATATAAATATAACTTATGAAACTTACAAAGTCAATGTAAAAGATGAAAATTTCAAATTGACTTTTTTTTTTTAAGTTTTTCATTGAAAGTTTTTGGTAATTTGTCAACCATATAGCCATGTTAAACTCAAATGTTCTAGGAAGTTTGATTTTTGCACTAAATAACCCCACCCAACTCTTTTTTTGAGGACAGGAATCTGATATTTGAAATGTACACGTTACGAGCTTTCATTTGAAATACAACAACCTTACCTTAAAAGAAAATTATATTTTTTGCACTCAATGACCCCACCCAACCCATTTTTTGGGGACGTCAATTTGATATTTGAAATGTACGCTTTATGGACTTTCATTTGATATGCGACAACCTAACCATCTGAGAAGTTTTAATTTTTTGCACTAAACGACCCCACCCTTCCCCCTGGGATGAAAAGGGGGTTTTACATTTTCATTTTTGAGTAGAGCTCGTTAAGACCTTCAATTTGATATATCAAATGAGCCCATTTGGCAAAGTGCCAAAAATGATGCAATATCAATTGTATAAATAGAAATTATGAAACTTACAAAGTCAATGCAAAACATAAAAATTTCAAATTGATTTTTTGGTTTTTTTTTTTCATTGAATGTTTTTGGTATTATGTCAAACATATAACCATGTTAAACTCTTCAATTTCTGAAAATTTCAGGTGGTAAACTGTTGTTGATTCAGAAATTCATGCCTCCGCTCGCAAAATTTCAAAGTGCATTATCTCTTAAACGACAACAGGTATCTCAAATTTGTTAAAAGAAAAATGATCTACAGTAAAAGGACAACATTTAAGAAAAAAAATTGGACAATTCCAAAGTTCATCAAGGTCACAATGAATTATCAAATATATAATGCAATATCAAACTTGAGAACCGGAAGTCGTAGAGACATAAGACTACCACCATTCAACTCAAGATCACTTGACCTTTCAAATGTCACAAGGTCAAGGTCATAGTACACTCTGAAGGTCAAGGTTAAATTTCATCATGACCTGACATTGACCTCAAATTGAAGGCCTTGAATTACTGATCATCTTTGCAGTATATAGTAGGTTGATATCTGTTACCTTTCAAAAGATATACATATGTTACTATAGTTTTAAGAATTATGTTAATGTAACTTTTGAACAGACGGTCGGACATTTTTGAGCTTAATGTATAAAATGTAGAGCTCGTCGAGAGAAACATTTTATGCACAGTGTGTATGCAGCAAACTCTTATCGTTTTCTTAATATGCAAGCTTGAAATTGCAGCGTAAATTTTTTTTGCACTCTGTGACCTTTGACTTTGGGTGTAAATTGAAGGTCACATGAACTTAAGATTGTTGGTGTAGGTCCCAAGTCTCTACGACTTACGGTTCGCGAAATACAATTTTTCAAAAATTGTATATATTTTTTCAAGAGAATTAACTCCTTATAAGGGTCAATAACAAAATTATTTTATACGTTTATTAACATTGCCATCTGTTCCTGTATATGTTGCCGTATTCAAATCGATTCTATCCCTAACATTAGAAAAACAATAAGGTCTTTCCTAACGGAGTGGAAAGACCTTAATTAGAAAAACAATAAGGTCTTTCCTAACGGAGTGGAAAGACCTTAACAATAAGGTCTTTCCTAACGGAGTGGAAAGACCTTAAAAAAAACATTAGAAAAACAATAAGGTCTTTCCTAACGGAGTGGAAAGACCTTAAAAAGAAAAAGAAAAAAAAACATTAGAAAAACAATAAGGTCTTTCCTAACGGAGTGGAAAGACCTTAAATATAAATCAATTGTAAACGATATTTCTCCTTTGAAACATGATTGATTGAACTGTTTGTGTGTTTGTTTGTTTGTTTGTTTGTTTGTTTTTGTTTGATTCCTTGTTTGTTTCTTTGTTTATTTGATTTGTTCAATGGATGTCTTAACTTCTACCAGTCAATTGTTCACATTACAAGGAGAAAAAAAACCACGAGTAAAACACACACAACAGATTTACCGTCCAGTGAGAGGTATTTCTTTATTTATTAGGATATAGTTACAGAAAGAAACAGGTTTGAGTACCCCCCCCCCCCCCCCCCTAAATTAAAAGAGGGGCGGTACCCAAGTTTACATTTTCATACAGGTGTACATATCCTTGATTTGGTTAAGTTTCTATATTTAGATTGGAAAGTTTTTATTCTATTTCAGGTCCCGCGCGCATCTCTCGAGCGGATTGTGACGTCACGAGGCTTGTTGATATTAGCGAAAACTTAGCAAATTTCTTTCTTTTTAGGTGGAGATGTTGTACAGACAACATGTATATCGACGGAATAACACATAACGTATTTCTTTTGTTACTGTAGGTAATTGATGTTTTGATCGGAGTTCACGAGCAGTGCAGGCTTTTGATTTATTTTATCCTGTGTACTTTTAAAACACGTTTATCGATTATTTTCATACAATGTACATATTTCAGCAGCAGTTTGTAACACAGATTTGTATTTCAATCTATGAGCAGACATTTTATTGTAGGATTTCACTGATATTTACGGAACTCGAAAGCGATTGCTACGGCATTGACATTTGTTTTCTCTACGAAAATTCTTCGGAGGTAGCTGCACAACGTTGTTATAATTAGATGGAATACATGTATACCCTGCTGGCTGCAAAGTTAGAGGTCAATTGGACATGTCGTTTCAGCGAAGTACCGCACATAAGAATTAGGTCCGTGTTTTCCGAGAATAATTGTCATAACAATAATATACGACAACCTTAACTTAGAAGACAATTTATTTGTTGCACTCAATGACCCCACCCAACCCATTTTTGGGGGACGTAAATTTGATATTTTAAAAAATACGCTTTATGGACTTTCATTTGATATTCGACAACCTAACCATGTAAGAAGTTCTATTTTTGCACTAAATGACCCAACCCTTCTAATGGGATGAAAAAGGGGGGTTGAAATTTTCATTTTTGAGTAGAGGTCATTTAGACGTTCAATTTGATATACAAAATGACCCCGTTTGACAAAGTACCAAAAATGATGCAATATCAATTGTATAAATAGAACTTATGAAACTTACAAAGTCAATGTTAAACATGAAAATTTCAAATTGATTTTTTTTCTGGTTTTTCATTGAATGTGTTTGGTAATTAGTCAAACATATAACCATGTTAAACTCTTCAATTTCTGAAAATTTCAGGTGGTAAGCTGTTGTTGATTCAGAAAAACATGCCTCCGCTCGCAAAATTTCAAACTTGATTATCTCTAAAACGACAACAGATATCTCAAATCTGCTAAGTGAAAAATGATCTGCATTTAAAGTACAACATTGTAGAAAAAAAAATTGGGACAATTTCAAAGTTCATAAAGGTCACAATGAATAATCAAATATATGATGCAATACCAAACTTGAGAACCGTAAGTCGTAGAGACATGGGACTACCACCATTCAACTGGGGACCACTTGACCTTTCAAATGTCACAAGGTCAAGGTCATAGTACACTTTGAAGGTCAAGGTAAAATTTCATCATGACCGGACATTGACCTCAAATTGAAGGTCTTGAATTACTGATCATCTTTGCAGTTTATAGTAGGTTGATATCTGTTACCTTTTAAAAGATATACATATGTTACTATAGTTTTAAGAATTATGTTAATGTAACTTTTGAACAGACGGTCTGACATTTTTGAGCTTAAAGTATAAAATGTAGAGCTCGTCGAGAGGAACATTTTATACACAGTATGTATGCAGCAAACTCTTATCGTTTTCTTAATATGCAAGCTTGAAAATGCAGCGTAATTTTTTTTTGCACTCGGTGTCCTTTGACATTGGGTGCAAATTGAAGGTCACATAAACTTAAGATTATTGGTGTAAGTCTTAAGTCTCTACGACTTCCGGTTCTCGAAATACAATTTTTCAAAAATTGTGTATATTTTTTCAAGAGAAATAACTCCTTATAAGGGTCAATAACAAAATTATTTTATATGTTCATTAACATTGCCATTTCTTCTTGTACATGTTGCTGTTCTCAAATCGATTCTATCCCTAATACTTTTTGAGAAAGATGCAAAAGAAAGAAATTGCGTCAAGGGGATATAACTCGCATAGGGGATGATGAAATCCTATGTAGCCTGCTATGGTAGTACATCATGATGAGATCTACCTATTGTTCAAATAAGGTCATGATATCTTTAAAAACAACGAGTTGGGGCCATGTCGAAAAAATCCAATAAAAGGGAGATAACTTCTACAGGGGATGACAAAATCCTTAACAGGGTCATCTGGTAATACTTCATGATGAGGTCTATCGATGGTCCATATTTGGCAATGATAATTTCAACAGAAACGGGGGGAGGGCATTCCCAAAAAAATGTTGGAAGAAAAAAAAGAAAAAAAAGAAAAAGAAAAAAAAACACTAGTATCTCAATTGTTTGTAAAACAATTGAAAGGTCTTTCCTGTAAAAGTAATGTTTTCGTAATGTACTTTTTACGACCTTTCATTTGATATACGACAAGCATACCTTTTAAAACTTTTCGCTTTTTACACTTAATGACCCCATCCGCCTTAATTTTCGAGATCGGAAGTATGATATATGTAATGTAGACTTGATGATCTTTCATTTGATATGCGACAACGCCATCTTCTAGAAAGTTTGATTTTTGCACTAAATAACCTCATCCAACTAGTTTTTCTAGAGCAGGAATTTGAGATTTGAAATGTATACGTTCTGACCTTTCATTTGATATACAACAACCTTATCTTAAAAGAAAATCTATGTTTTGCACTCAATGACCCCACCCAACCCATTTTTGGGGACGTCAATTTGATATTTGAAATGTACGCTTTATGGACTTTCATTTGATATGCGACAACCTAACCATCTGAGAAGTTTGAATTGTTTGCACTTAATGACCCCACCCTTCCCACTGGGATGGAAAAGGGGTTTGAAATTTTCATTTTTGAGTAGAGCTCATTTAGACATTCAATTTGATATACATAATGACTGCATTTGGCAAAGAGCCAAAAATGATGCAATATCAATTATATAAATAGAACTTATGAAACTTACAAAGTCAAAGTAAAAGATGAAAATTTCAAATTGATTTTTTTTTTTTATTTTTCTATTGAAAGTTTTTGGTAATTAGTCAAACATATGACCATGTTAAACTCTTCAATTTCTGAAAATTTCAGGTGGAAAGCTGTTGTTGATTCAGAAATACATGCCTCCGCTCGCAAAACTTGAGACTGCATTATCTCTAAAACGACAATAGATATCTCAGATCTGTTAAAAGATAAATGATTTGCTGTTAAAGATCAACGTTGCATAAAAAAATTTAGGACAATTCCAAAGTTCATCAAGGTCACAATGAATCATCAAATATATGATGCAATACCAAACTTCAGAACCGGAAATCGTAGAGACATGGGACTACCACCATTCAACTCAGGACCACTTGACCTTTCAAATATCACAAGGTCAAGGTCATATTACACTTTGAAGGTCAGGGTAAAATTTCATCATGACCTGACATTGACCTCAAATTGAAGGTCTGGAAATACTGATCAATTTTTCCAATTTATAGTAGGTTGATATATGTTACCTTTAAAAAGATATACACACAATACTATACTTTTAAGAATTATCTCGTTGCAACTTTTGAACAGACGGCCGGACATAATTGAGCTTAACATATAAAATGTAGAGCTCGTCGAGAGGATCATTTTATACACTGTATGTATGCAGCAAACTAGTATCGTTTTCTTAATATGTAAGATTGAAATTGCAGCGTAAATTTGTTTTGCACTTAGTGACTTTTGACCTTGGGTGCAAATTAAAGGTCACATGAAATAAAGATTATTGGTGAAGGTCCCAAGTCTCTACGACTTCCGGTACTCGAAATAGAATTTTTCAAAAATTCTGTATAATTTTGAAAGGGAAATAACTCCTTATAAGGGTTGATAACAAAGTAATTGTTCATGTTTATTAACATTGTAATCTGTTCTTGTTGATGCTGCCACTTTCAATTCGATTCTATGTCTAATACTTTTTAGGAAAAATGCAAATAAAATAAATTGCTTTAAGGGGATATAACTCTCAAAGGGGATGATGAAATATTACGCCGCCTCATATGGTAATACATCATGATGAGATCTACCTATTGTACAAAAAAGGTCATGATATCTTTAAAAACAACGAGGGGGGCCATGTTGAACAAAATCAATAAAAGGGAGATAACTTCTAAAGGGGATGATGAAATCCTTAACAGGGTCATCTGGTAAAACTTCATGATGAGGTCTATCGATGGTCCATATTTGGTCTTGATAACTCCAATAGAAACGAGGGGAGGGCATGTCAAAAAAATGTTGGAAGAAAAAAAAGAAAAAAAGAAAAAAAAAAAAAAAAGAAAAAAAAAAAAAAACATTAGAAAAACAATAAGGTCTTTCCTAACGGAGTGGAAAGACCTTAACAATAAGGTCTTTCCTAACGGAGTGGAAAGACCTTAATGAACAATTCAGACATAGTATATATATTTTATTATATAACAAAAGCGAATTATCTCTGACACAGAAATACAGTTTATTGACATGTATTGACAGTTGTGCGCTTTAAGAGTTTTATTTAAATATTGATTTATGTCAGCACTGGTGGTATAGAGGTATCATGCATAGACTGAAGACCCTACTGATTATGAAGAAAATACGCGCGAGTTCGAACCCTTCATATGCCACTCGTTTTTGAGAGGATAAAAAATCGTCAGTTAAAAGTTTAAAGTTATAAAATAAGTTATCGTAAGTTAACGAAGTGGTCGGTGGGTTCTTGAAAAATAATCTACTGTAAAATAAAATAGACTAACGTCAGAGAAATGGATTAATCGTTTATTAGTTCTTGCTAAAAAAGACTTGATGCTAAAAAAAAAAGGTCAGAGAAATATCAAAATTGGGTTTTATAGGTACCTATACTAAATATAAACTGTTACCTAGATCTTTGAAATATACTTGCATACTTGTTGCATTCATTTTGAAATAATGTTTTAAAATTAGTAAATGTAATAATTTTATTCGGTGTATCCTTATATATGATAAAACATGGAAATATTTTTCACTTATTTTCCATGGATAAAACAGCTACAGCGTTGCACGGGTATTTATAATTATTAAGATAGTGTTTGACAACCCGTTTCGGTTGACTGCTCAGATAATCCGTATATTGAAATGTAAATAACCTTCACCAAACATCTGTCATCTGTCAAAAATTAGACAAATACAAAGTAAATAAGATACTCAGAATATATTTTCCATGACAAATTTTATATGGTTAAGAACAATTATTTTAAATCACAGACGAAAATTTGTTTAAGAACATTTTTGATATTTATTACTAATCATTATATCTTTACAGACGGAGTGAATAAATAATAAATTACTTAATGCCAGAAAGCACGACTGCGAAGTTTTTATGACTTACACACTTTTCCGATTACAACAATTATTCTTTTCTTATATAACCAATTAAATGTTGACTTGAAATAACATCGGAAAAAAATTAATTGCAAGTTTGCAAACGTTATTTAATTAAACTAATAGACATACAATATAACATTAGAAGACCACAAAAGAATACCCTCCATTCTTTGCCGATTTTATTCATAAAGGGGGGACAACCCCTGATAAACACAAAGAAAGTGTCGCCCGTTTTGCATGCAAATATTTAAAATCTTAACACGACTGAACACGATCTTACAAAATCTACCTTTGGTCTGATTTGATCTGAACATAGTCTGATCAAGTCTTAATCGGACGCAAGAACAATCTGTCTTGTTTATCTTGACATGACTGAACAGACTTAACACGGTATATCGTGACAGCGTCTGAAAGTCTGAAAAAGTCTTGACGTTTTTCTTTAGCAGTAAATCCAGTCGATTAAGACTTGATCAGACCAAAATGACCGTTTCAGACTTATATATTGCTACTAGTAACGCATTTGACTAACAGGTCGAACAACTGATGTTCTTAAACCCTGCTGACTGCCATTGGCGATTGCTAAATAAACAGATCACAAGATGTAACAAAATAGATCTTATTGCTTATTCATTACCAAACAGAAAACAATAAACTTGCGAAAAAGATGGTATACCGCAAACATGAGGTGCAAAAATTTGTACACCATATCCGGATTTCGACAATTAATATATTATTAGTTACATGGTGTGTTGGTGACCTAATAAAATATATATGTGGTCAGTAAATTCCATATGGGGTGACCCCATATATATCGTATTAGGTCACTTGCACACCGTGTAACGAATTTATCTTACCGACTATATTCACATGTGGTATTTAGACTAGCGGCCTATCAAAGTGATTTAGTCTTCAATACTTAGTATTAAGAACCTGCCTCCATTTGTCTATACAAGAAAGAAATGCCAACAATAACAACTTGTTAGCTTTATATTTGTTTTATGAATTTATTTCAATCGTTCATTACATGTATTTTCAAAATGTCAAACAAACAGACCCTTTGAAATTGAGAAAAAATTTAGTAAGTTTGATTGCGAGAACTTAAGTTTAAAGTTCTACAAATACATTCTTGGGGTAAATGAAAAGTCATGTAATTTAGCTGTTATGGGAGAGTTAGGTCCTACTCCATTGCATATTAAAAATCATTTGTTCTATTCTTAAATTGTTACAAAAAATTAATGGTTT